TGGCGGCGGCGGTGCCGGCACTCCCCGTGTCCCTGTCGGGCAGGTTCAAGGGGTCCGTCACGGCAGCGGGGCGGGGGGCGGAAGGGAGCCGAGGGACCGGTCGGCGCCCCGCGGCCGGTGAGGCGCCGGGCGGAGCCGGGGGGCGGGTCTTGGCCCGGCGGGGCGGGCGGGGGCCGCAGTGCCGGCAGGCGGCGCTGTGGCCGCGGTGCCGCCGCAGGGAGCGCCCGGAACGGGCCGAGGGCTGGTGTGGAAGCGTCGCTGTGCTCCCCGCGTCGCTGCTCGGCCCTGGGACTCCGACTCGCCGGGTGGAAATCCTGCAATAAAAATAACTCTCCAGGCCATGTTGGCGCTCTCTGTAGGGCTAGTTACGTTCTGCTTGTTGTCCTCCTCAAACATAAACGGGCTTTCGGGGAAATGCAAATGAAGTATGTAGTGCAGAGTGCGTGAGTGTGGATTTTCGTGTCGGTAGGAGATACATGTTAAACTTTTAACATGTCTCTGTCCTTTTAATTTGATATTTCCCTGACTGCATCAGGGCAACCGAACAATTAAAGAACACGTTTTAGCGTTGAATTAGCTGCAATTTTTCTCTGTTTTGGCAGGACAAATCATTTAGCATTTTCTTCCTTGAAAAAACTGCTGTTTTTCTTTAAAAGCAGACCTAAGAACCTGACCCATTTGAGGAGTTTTTATTACTGTTACTACTGTCCACTGCTTTAGAGGCACATAAAGTTACTTTTAAGGCTGTTGTGTTTTAACCCCAGCTGGCAGTCAAGGACAACACAGCTGCCCTCTCACTCAGCCCCCAGTAGGGTGGAGGGGGACGTAATAGGAAGGGTAAAAGTGAGAATTGAGATAAGAACAGTTTAATAATTGAAATAATATTACATTATAATGGAAAGAAAAAGAACAAAGAGAACCTAAGAAAAACAAGTGAAGCCAATGAAAACAACTCATCACCACCAGCTGACTGATGCCCAGCCAGTACCCAGGCAGTGACCCCCCAGCCAACTTTTCCTCCTGGTTTCCACTGCTCAACATGACACCATATGGTATGGGGTGTCCCTTGGGTCAGTTGGGGTCAGCTGTCCCAACTCTGTCCCCTCCCAGCTCCTTGTGCACCCCCAGCCTGCTCGCTGGTAGGATGGTGTGCTAGTAGGAGAGACAGAGAAGGCCTTGACTCTGGGTAAGCCAAACTCAGCAGTATTGAAAACATCCCTGTGTTATCAACACTGCCTCCAACACAACTCAAAACACAGCCCCATACCAGCTACTGTGAAGAAAATTAACTCTGCCCCAGCCCAAACCAGCACAAAGACCTTGCATTTGTTTTTACAAAGGGAAGCTATTTCATCATTTGCTGTCAATAATAAAAATTTGTTCCTTTTATCCCTTTTAGATCCTTTGCATATTTTACAATTAAAGACAGACTGCCACAGATCCTCACAAGAGTTATTGATACTCTGCATCGACATAAAAATGAATTTTTTGAAGAACATGGTGAGGTAAGAGTAAGGTCTCTTTTTTTCCCTGATGTTTTTCCTCCCTAACCCTTGAGACCCCTTCTCTGCCTTGTTTTTACTGGTTTCTTACTACAGTTGTTACTTGTCTGTCTCAATCTTTTTGTCTGTTTGGTTTTTTTAAAATCATCTCTTTCTTGTAGCTGTTTTTGATTAGTTCTGTAATTCACTTCTCTGTCTAACCTTTTTGTGGTCTGTCATTTCTGCAACTGCTTCGCTTCCTTGGGTTTTTGTGTTGATGTAGCGTTTGATAGACTGTAGCACTTTCTGTGTTTCAATACCTTCTTCCTCTCTAATAAGCAAAAAGTCCAATCTAAAAAGAAGTTCCATATGCAATTCATTTTAGGATGTTAAATCTAAAATGAGCTTTATTCACCAAAATATATTTTGTTGAATCAAGCTCTGATTTGTCAGGGACTCGCCTTTGGCAATTAAAACTTACCAGTTACATATCTAATGAAAAGTTGATCTGTGTCTCTACAGGAATAAATGTTCAAATAGGAACTTTTGTTCTCCACTTATTTCAGAAGGGTGTTGAAGCAGAGAAGAGAGCTATATCTTTCCTCTCCAAACTGCGGAATGAACTGCAAACAGACAAACCAGTGACCCCTTTGGAAGATGAGCTGCCTGATGCTGCACTGTGGAACCAATACCTGGACTACCAACGAAATTTATCAAATGGAAATGGAGAACCAAGTTGGTTTCAGTCCCCTTGGTTGTTTGTAGAGTGTTATATGTATCGAAGAATTCATGCAGCATTAGCACAGAAGTAAGTATTTACTAACTTGGTATGCCACTTTGAAAAACATTATTCTTTCCCATTTCTATTTTAGGAGGAAGAAAGACAGCTGAGGAGTAAGATAAAGGAATATCTTAAGCTTTTACCATATTCCTTTTCCCTTGTCTCATACTTCAATTAAAATTAATACCTTTTCTTCTTCCATACAGCAGAATTTGCTTCAGTTTTAAGGAGTTGATCTACTTGAAAACTCTTAAGCTTGACTGTATAGCCTGACCTTCTTGCAGACTAATCTGAATTGAGATATGAAAATCATGTAGCATTTCTAAAAGGTTTGTTAGCCTAGAATTCTCTCTTAAGCCTAAAACAGGGAATATGAGAGCCACAAATCTGTTGGGAATTCTCACTTGTTTTGTCGCTTGAAATCTGAAATTACCATTTGACAACTGTTTTTATAGCAGTTTACCCACCTTAAGCAGCCCCGTTGTTCAATCTACACCAGCTTCTTCATTACAGCAGTGCACACAGACCATGGGTTGCATCAAACTCTGGGAGCTGATCCTTGTTAAAAATAACTCTGCAGGAAAAACTTGTGCTTGGTACTGTGGAGAGGTGCCAGTACAATGACATGGGGTAGGAGTGAAAAGTTTAAGTTCCCATTGGTGTCAAAAGAATTTGAAAGCTCCATGAATACTGGATTTACCCATAGTATTGCAGAGATGCAAACACAGGAATGGGACTCAGTTTCTACTGGTATATTGTGTAATTTGAACTCTTGTATCAAAAGTTTCAAATATGAGACGGATCTGCTTGATTGCTTTTGAAAAGGTGAGTGGATACTTTTCATTAGTAAGATTTAAGTTTCTTGATCTCCATTATTTATCTCCTCTTGAGCATATGCTTTGATGGAAGTTCAGTCATTTGTCAAAAGGTGTATGTGCAAATATGTCTCATGACAGATTAGTTTATATTTCTTATATATTACAACATTCTCATCTTTGTCATGTTAATTTTCCAGAGTCCTAGTAAAGACTTTCATAGGAATAACTTCCTATCACTGTAAGAGAATCTGGTATGGGAAGTAACTTCAGCACACAAAAACACATTTAAAATTGGGCCAGCAGTTCTCCACATTAGTTTGCTTGTATGTTATAGTTTTAGTTATCTGTGCCTGAAGGTTGGAGTTCAAAATGGTCACTGTATGTGCAGTTCCCAGAATTGTTGTGACTGAGCACTTGTTCACTTTCAGGATATATTGCTGGAAATATAAAAATGTTTTGCATAGTGTCTGTTCCAGTGAGATACAACATCAGGCTGCTACTGAGATTTATGAAAGTTTAGTATGACAAATGAGAAACAGAAAATCTAACTAGGGCCTGTAGTACAGTATAAAAAGCTGACCTTTGAGCTTCATTTGCATGTACTGTCATGGCAAGTATGTCAATATATTTGTTCTCCTCTTTTTAGCCCACCTATTGACAACTTTGACGTATTTAAGGAAGGAAAGGCTCAAAATTTCTTTGAATCCCAAGAGGCTGTTATTGCCTTATGCACTTACTTTCAGGAACTTCTTAAGAACATCAAGGATCTAGATGAAAAACAACTTAAGGAGGAGCTCTTTAAGCTATTGCAGGTAAACTACTAGTGCTTAACACAAGAATTTAAAATATCTCTCCTGTGAAAGAAACGAAAACTTGAGGCTATAAATAATTGGAATTTCATATGGAAATTAAAATATAGCTCTTTTGTTTGTAAAAAATGTGATGAAATCCTGATTGATAGCCATACTGTATTGCTGCTACTGTGGAAATATTTATATTTTGGTTACTTGTCTTAAATGTGACATTTTCATTAACTGCTGATCTTCATTGTGTATTAGAAAACCCAGCAATTTTCCCTGAATTGAGTATTTCTCAAATGTTTTAAGTTCCAGATGACCTTTTTGGTATTTAACTATAGTTTTTTAAAACAGTAAATTTTAATTGACACTCTAAACAGTTTTAAACTTCTTTGGAGAAAAATTTAGAAGTCAGTCTGGGCCAGAAGTTGTTTAAAAGCTTTATAATGACTATAATGCCTCTGGGTACAATATCCAAAGTATCTTAAGATTACAAAGAAGTCCATTAGCTGGCAACAGTGCAAATCAAGTATTTGATCAATCTTTATAAAGAGATCATTAGTGAGTACTTAAAATACATATACTTAAAATATTTACTTGGCTGCATGTAATAAGAAAAATAAACCTGCTTTAATATTCCTTTTTCTGTGTTATCACAGATATTTTTTGGAATTGCAGTATGGAGAATATTTGTGTTTTAAGCTTTGTCATCAGTGTATCTGTGTTGATCTAAATCTTTCATCTTTGTCACTTCTGATGCATGTTTCTGATACCTGCAGAAATACAGAGCATTGTTTGGTTTCTTCCACAAAATCTCATCTATGTTAAGATGTCTGTATAAGAAGTTGAGTGTGGAGTTAGAGCCTTCACTGCCTAAACCAAAAAGAAGGAAACAAAATCCTCAGTGTATGTGAAGTTCAGAACGTAACTACAGTGAGACTTAGCAAATGTGTTTTGTTTTTTTCTTCCTTCTAGGTGTCATTGTGGGGCAATAAGTGTGACCTTTCTTTTTCAGCTGGTGAAGACAGCTCTCAGAAATCTAGTCCCTTACAATCCTTGGAAAACATGGTACCTTACATCTTAGTGAATGATATGGAAAAAGTTTGGTCATTACTTGTAAATGCCAAAACAAATAGAACAGAAAGAAGTAATGTTAGAGTTGACATAATCCTGGATAATGCTGGGTTTGAACTTGTAAGTGATCTTGTGTTGGCTGATTTCTTGTTATCGTCAAAGCTAGCTGATGAAATCTATTTCCATGGAAAAAGTATTCCATGGTATGTGTCAGATACCACAAAGCACGATTTTAACTGGACTGTTAAACAACTGCAGTCAGCTAATCATATGTGGATGTCTAGGTGTGGGATAAACTGGGAGGGCAATTTGAAAAAGGGAGTTTGGGTTTTCTGTGACCACATGTTTTGGACTTTGCCACATGACTTCTCCAGTATGGGTGGAGTTGCTCCTGACTTGTATGCTGAGCTACAGAAGTCAAACTTGATTTTTTTCAAAGGTGATCTAAACTACAGAAAATTAACAGGAGATAGAAAATGGGAATATAGTGTCCCGTTTCATCAAGCCTTGAACAAGTTTCATCCTGCGCCTCTCTGTAGTTTGAGAACACTGAAATCTGACACTCAGGTTGGCCTAAAACCTGGACAAGGTGAACAAATTCAGGCTTCTGAACCCGAGTGGATGGTAAGTGGGAAATATGGGGTAGTTCAGTTTGATGCTGGTCTCTAGCTAAATGATTCTTAATATTCTGAAAGAGAGATTTAGTCTAGTTACTTTCTCTATTCCATGCTTGGCTTCAGCAAAGATTCTTTCTTGTTTGCACTTTTTCCTCCCAAGTGATTTGTTCTTTTTGTTCCACAAAAAACTTTAATGTCGTGCAAAAATTTACAAATGGTCTTTGTATATGTAAATCATCTGTATTTCAATATAGTTTGTTTTCCTAATGCCCAACATCAGCAGATCTTTAAGATGAATATGTAGTTGTCCATAATATTTTTTTCTTCATTAGTGGGTATGAGTCTATAGCTTAACAAGTGAAAAATCTGCTTCAGAAACCATTTCCTCAATCCCACATTAGCATGTATTTACTTATTTCAGGCTAATTTGTGCTCCACATGCCAGGCATTGCATGAAAGTTATTATTTTAGAGAAGTCACAAATTAATTCCAGACAGATTCTTCTGATGTTTGATTATAGTTTGCTGTACATTACATGATAAGTTATTGGGTGACAGCTTGTAAACATTCGTGTAGGATTGAAAATGAAATTTAAATTTTAAGATACAAGTGGATGTTGCTGGCCAGTTTGCCTGTAGGAGGGGAGTTCTCCCATCTTGTAGGAAGATTAGTGGGAGAAAGGAAAATTTCATTTTAAGAACATTGAACATATTGTTTATCTAAGGACCTCTACCAAAAATAAGCACACAAAACCCCCTCCCCAAGTAAACAAACCAATGAACAGTTGCATTAATTGGATTTTAGATTTAATGCAGACTTGAATTATAGATGGCCTGTCAGCAGTGTATGTGGTTCAAGCACTGCTGCTTCTTTCTGTGTGGTAATTCTCTTTATTTGTTTTTATTTGTCTGTTGTTTTACAAAAGGTGCCTTACTTTTGAGGGGGGGAAGTACAGTTCTGGTTGCACTGAGAAGTATATGCTAGAGAAGCATATGCCATACAGGTTTCCTGCTAATTGGAATTGTTAGGTGCCCAATTCTTCTCTTCTACCCTGGTCTCAAAAGCTGCTGCTAATTATGTTCATACAGTAAAGATCTGTACAATGGATAAATATGGTCTAGATGCAGATGACTGATTATTTGTGTTTGTGTTCTTCTTAAATCTAAAGAATATTTTAAAGTTTTAAGGTCAAGTGTTCTAAAACAAAGATGCAAGGAATTTCATGAAGCAATGTGATAGTAGTAGGTAGGGTTCTGCTTTTGAGACATGGGTTTAGTGCTCTCATCTATTTGTATCTCTGGCTTAGTACTCCTAAAGGGTGAATTTATGCTCATCCTTAGGCACCTGACTGAACTGCAGAAATTAGAAATCCAGTCAAGGCAGCTGAAGGTCAGACTGCTGAAGGTTTCTTTGACTGGAGAGAGCTCAGCAGGCCTCTCGCTTTAGTGCTTTGGTTAAGTACATAAACAACACCATGAACCTGTGCACTGGAGCCTCAGTTTCTCATCTGTGAAATACTGTTAACTTGTTTTAAGTGTATTTTGAAGCAACAACTTTGGGTCAAGAAGGGCGGGGTGGAAACTGTAGAATATATGGAATGAAAACTTCCCGCCTAGTTCAGACATGAAATGAACAGGGGAAGAAATATGCTTTGCCTGTGGACAGACTGTTTGTAAGGTGCTGACTTAATTTGCTGAGAGGTTTGAAAGAGTGTAATGGACAAGAAGAGGATTGTTTCACTGTTGAGGCCACCCTTGACGAATAGATTTGCCCCTTACACAATCCTTACAACATGCTCAGAAACTTGGTTTTGTTTTTCAGTGGTTCTTAATGTGTCTCTGTACCCAGGTGGCTTTCAAGCTGTTACTTCTGAGAACTCACAGTGCAGATCATTGAAAATTAAAGTTATGAAGTTATGAGAAATAGAATCCTACAAAATACTAAATCACTTAGGAGATGTTGTGGCATTTGCTCAGTTAACTGAATTATCCCACTGGAGATTGTGCATTAATGTTCGTGAGGAAGAGTGCCGTGAGACATGTAATTCGTAGGTTAGCATGTGCATGCTGATGTAAGGGATGATGTCATGCTGAAAAAAATCAGTTCTATTATCCAGTTTATTAAATGAGCACTTCTCATCTTTTGCCCCTCACAAAGAGAAGTTTATATGGTAATACACAGTATGACTGCATGGCTACATGAGGAATGCACAGCCATAACTTCCAAATGCTTGACTTCTATTGCTGTAATTGCAAAGTGCTATCTCCAGGCAGAACTGAATGTGCAGCATACTTTTCTGTTTGTTGGTTGGCCAGATTTTTGTAAAATTTTGATTGATTCTGTGGAAAAAACTTCCAAACATAAATGGTGCTGAAATGCCTGTGTTATGTTCTCCCATGCCCCAAAGAAGCAGTGAAGACAGATACTCTGATGAAATGCTGTGCTCTGCTGATGGGTTTGCCACAGTTTAGTTGAAAATAGGAAATGCTTTTGTAGCTACTTGGTGTCAATTACTTGTGTAATATAGCTTCATGAAATGGCATCATGAGCCTGCTGCATTTAGGTGGAATTTACTATTAGAACAACATAAAGCATGTGTTATAACAATAGCATGTGCAGTAATATAGCATATTTTTTTCCTTGAGTATTGAAGAAATTGGCTTCTACACATCTGTACTGCAACCGATTGTCCAAGATGCTTGTACAGTATAACTCAGGAGCTACTGATCTGTATATACACCCACATTTTTGGGAGTTTCACTTCCTATGCTATTTGAATACTTATGGCAAAACCCAAGGGCATTTTCAGTAATTCTGAGGACCACAACAAAGCAATGGTTTTTACTTCTATTTTTTTCTTATACTTTTTGAGCAACTGTATTTCCAAGTCAATTTTTGATGGTGATGACTTTCACTGCTGATGAAACAAGAGGAAAAGTAATGTCTAAGGCACAGTGAAAGCCAGTGCACACTTGATAATATTTGATAATTCATCATGTAAGATATCTGCAATAATTTCTTACATATATAAGGCTCCTTAAGATAAACTGATGTGGAAAATAAGTTGATTGTATGACTGGAAACTTGCAAGAATGTTGAAATAAATTATATAATTTTGTGCAAAAGTCAAACATTGTTATTCTATTTCAGTAACTGGGGAAGCCAACTTAAATTAACTCAGTTTTTTTCTTTGAAACAGATTTTATACAAAAACCTGTAAAGCATATTTATCCAATGAGGTTTTGAAAACTACAGATGCAAGAGACAGATATTGTAAAATATCCTTCTGTATCAAGACAGGGCAGTAATAGGGAATTTTCTAACTTGTTACTCTATTCATATACCTGTTCAAATTTGAAAACCTTAAAAATCATTGAGAATCTCTGAAAATGTATCTGGTAATTACTTACTAAGGTTGGTGCAGGTGATGGCATCATTGTCAGGATCACTTCCAGAACTGATAGGTGGGCCATGCGTTCTCAGCAAAAATGGAAATACTTTAGTGTTACACTTGCTGTAACTAAAACATTTCCAAACCCCTTTGGTTTACACACCTTGCTGATGTCCCATAAACCCTAACTGTTGGTGTTGAAATAGTTTCTTTAAAGTTCATAGTGTATTTGCATTTGTGATTGAACTAAACAACTTGTTCCATGTGAGGCACATTTATCTCCCGTGCTCTATCAGACAGGAAGAATGTTCACCCTGTTGCATGAAAATTACCACGTGAAATGATTTTAATCTAAAAAACCCCCACCTTAATCATGTATAAAATACAAATTTCAAAATGGAATCTTGTACAGAACTGTTAGGGTTTTTTTCACTTAACAGTTTGTTTGCTTACCAGCCTTCTGTTTACCCAAAATTACAGAAAAAACCTTGTGATTGTTTTTATTCAAAGCTATAACTTAACTCCAAAATCAGCTAACACCTAAGGATCTTAAAATAAAACTGTGAAAATGTGCTGGTTAAAATGGTCCTTTTCTTTCTTTCTCATATGCCAGGGGCGGAACACATGTGAGGAAAAAAACTTCCTATACCATGGACTGTTTATGTTTTCTTATTTAGTTCTGAAGTTTTTTTCCTAAAAAAGGTACATTTTTGTTCTTGCTGATATGTTTCTATTTCTAACAGACCTAGAAATAAAAAAGGCCACTTAAACACATTTTTATATGAATTAATAATTAATTTATATTTAATCCACATTCTGCCTCAGCTTTGCTGTTGTGAATTCTGCAGACGTATTGTGAGAAAAGTTTTTATTTACAGTGCTTTTTGACATTTGGCTCATCTGCCTTGGTTGTGACTGGGAAAGAAATATAAAATGCCATATTATGATAATTTGCAATGAATAAACATATTCAGTACTTGTGTTCTGCTTTTTTTGTACCACTTTCCAGTAAGCTACATCATCTAGTCTTTCAGACTTCCTGTGAAGCCAAATTTTCATCCTCACAGAAACTAATTTTTCCTGGAATTCCACTTACTTCTTCCAAGTCTCATGAAGTAAAAGATTAAAAGCTGAGGTAAGATGTATCAGGGTAAATTTTTTTTTTTTCGCTTTCTTAGTGTTAACTAACTGATTAGTCTTATACTATCATGGTAAGGCCGATGCTTTCCAAGTGACTCTAACTGATGAGAGGCCTGACGATACAGTTAGTTGCATCTTCCCACATGTGGATCACAGGGAGTTTTTCCTGCAGCTGTGGTATTTCACTCAGTGATTAATTTTAAAGGAGGACTTGGTTGTTACTGAATGTGGAGACACAGAGTCTGAGAGCTGGACTAACGGGTGGAGGCAAAGAGGCAGAAGTAGCCAGGCCTCCTGTTGGGGCAGGGGCTGTACAGAAGCACTGTGTTTTCAGTGAGGTGCTGTGTAATGCTGGCACAGGGGCATCTCCTGACAAGCACCCCTGCAGCTCAGGCACCTGCAGAGAAGGACTTTCTCCCCTCTTACCTGCTAACACACAGAACACTGTCCAGGAGGTAGTCACAGTGTCCTTGAAGTTCAGCAAGGGTTAATCTTTACAATGCTTGTGTATATTAATGCGGCAGAGAAGGACCTGCAAACTGGTAAATCCATGCTTTCCTCCAGTGGTGGTGTGTACAGAAAGGCTGTTCAGGAAACAGAACCAGCTTTTAACAACCATTTGTGGCCTGGAATAGGTTTCAGCTCTTAACTCCCACTTCCCAAGAAAATATCTTAACTGTTATAGGTCAGGAAGTGCACTGTGTTCTGATCCTAGATGGCTTATATGCATACATAATTGTTAATTTTGGTCTAGGATCTGTGTAAAATGCAGAACAATTCTGGAAAAAGGGCTAGAGTCCAGGAGCCCTCCCTCAAGCTAGCTGAAGGGACTCTTCACCTACTTTTCCTTCTGTCCAGTGACTCTTGTGTTATTTGCATTACAATCCTATTTCAACCCAGGGAATATGTGTACCCATGGCCTAAGGTTAGGGAATTAGGAGACAGGTAAATTCCTCAAGAGAGAGAAGGGCCTACCACTTGCAGCAAGGGTTCTATGTGACCAAAGAACATCCCCATTTTTCCGTAGTTGGCTGTATTCTTGTTTTCAGGCGATCCTGATTAGAGCTACACTTGAATGCCTTTGGCATTTGTTGGATATGCAGCTTTGACTGCATCCGTGGCCCTAGGAGGTTTTGCTGCTATTTTGCTGAGTCCTGATGGAAAGCACTAGCAGGAACTAGTTGTGCAGTGCATATCAGGGAGTTAAAAGATTTTTGGGGAAAACAGGACTCTTATTTTGGTTAGGCAGAAGAACAGATGAACTTAATCAGACTAGTTAATCCTTCTTAAGATTGTCCACTATCAGATTTACAATAGTAAATTGTGTCTGTTATCAGACACAATTTACCTACACTCAATTTACATATCTTAAACCTTGAAGTAGGTAAGCTGAGGATAAGAAACTCCTCAAGAAAGCTTTCTCCCCTCCAGGATGATACCAGTGATTTGAGGGAGTAGAGGAGGAGCACAGCTTGGTGGGACATACTCTGCTTTTGGAGTGGATACCTTCTGGAAAACGAGCAAATTAGTACCTTGGAAAGTAATGTCCATGAGTTTTATGCCAAATATTTGTTAAAATATGGCCGTTCTAATTATTCTAGCTGAATTAGGAGATAATTTAAGTCCTGTGGATTAATTTCCCCTGAACCTCTTTCTATTTTAATGTTGCTAGTGTACAATTCTTTTGACCTCAGCCATAGCTGCTTTTAGGTAATGAGTGTATATGTGTTCAGAAATCATTTGGAATTCGTGTACATGAAAAAATACAAATACTTCACCTTCTCAATATGGTGCTGATGCTTTGAGGTTAATAAATTTTTTTTATAGTGTTAGTAAAAAAGGAAATTTTGAGTTCAAAACTAATATTAAATATTTTGATTCAGTCTTTTAATCACTTGTTAAAATAAATTTAAATTAAAAGATTTGTGAGCAGTAGAATTAATGAACATCATTTTAGCCTTTAGCATACTAAGCACTTTGAAAGGCAACTTCTGCTAATTTGTGTCACATACTAAGAGAATCTCTGGTTCAAGTGACCAGAAACTTGGTACCATTGGGGTACGTCAGACCCTTCCTCTCCATCCATCTGTATCCTACAAGATACAAAGGATGTCTCTTTCATCGAGTGAGGGGCAAGCTGTCCACATCATCACATGGCTTTTAGCTTTGAAATTTTTCTTATATATCCATTCTCATTTACATACAGAAAATTCAGTTAGGAGCAGATATTTCAACACCTGCAGAATCTCAACTGGTATATTTTTGAGTGTACTGGGTACTGGGTTTGGGTTTTCATATCCCAGGTCAGTTTTAGCATCTTTTCTCAATACTGAGCATTTTCAGGGAAGGGAAGGTTTAGAGTAATTTTTTAATTCTGTTTCAAAAATTAGTGGCGTACATATATTCAAGAGATTTTGCATCATTCTTTGCTCAGAAAAGCTGAGAACATTCTGTCCATGTAGTTTCTATAACAAAACATGAATTTGATTAATGAAAATGACTCCTTGAAATTATTTATAATTAAAAATTCTGAAGTAACCCTTCCTAAGTCATTATTTCCTGTCCCTGTTAAGGGAAAAGAAATATGGAGTCCTTTTGAGAACTCTACTTGTAAATATTAGCACAAGGGTAAAGCACTTTTAAGTGTGAGCACTGTGTAATAAGATACTTTTTTCTTAGTCAAATGGAGCCTCAAACTGCCCCATTCTTCTTTGGAGTGTTACATGAAATTTCTACGTCATTTTTTTTTTCTTGCCTCTTTTATTGTTACTCTTGCTGCAGTTCATCAGATTCAGCATGCTTTTTTAAAGCCAAATAACTTCATAGGTCTATGGTAAGATACAGCTGTATAAGTGGCTGAAGTATAGCTCTTGAACCAGCCGTGGCACTGCAGGACTAGTGATGGGGAAGTGTGCTCAAGCACATGCTTAGGCAAGTTAGGAAAAAGTTTCACAATCATTTAATTCTGCATCTGCATGCTGCTCCAGTAATAGGACAGTTTAGGCTGTAGTCAAATGCTGGGCAAATCTAGGATGATATTTTTATTCAAATTTGCAGTGGATAGTAAAACTTGTGCTCGATTTATGCCGGGTTTATGTAAGACCACAAGCACAAATTTAACCAGTTAAAAACAATAAATGCAGAATGAGGTTACCCTGGAGCAAAATGTGGTGCAAAATGTTACTTTTCTGCCTCTCTGCACCCCCATCTGCTCTGTCAGCACTGAATAATCTTGATTCAGTAGTTCCCTACTGGGTTTCACTCCTCTGGTACAGCACCAGCATTTGTGTACAGTAAGAACAACGGGTTCGTGAAACATTTTTGTGCCCCTATGCCATCCTGTGTGGCTGCTAGCTCACCCTTCACCCCTGAGGATGAACTGGAAACATGCCACCAAAGGAGCTGTCACCACCCCACGCACCGACAGCAATTGTGTTTTTCCCCTAACACTTAGGAAGATGGAGGCCACAGGCTCCTGCCACTGCTGCTGCCTGTGCTGCACAGCCTCAGCCCCATGTGGGTCTCCATTTCCCTTGACCTGTTCCCAGCACTCCTTCTTCACATTAAGTTATTTTTCTCCTGTCCTTTATGAGTTTAGTGGCAGATTCCAGCTGAGGGATGGCATTGTATACCTCTGCGATTTCAGCAGTGCAGCCATTTAAATAGGGTGATGACCCATTCTAGCACCCCTCTTGCTTGGGTAGGCGTCTTCTCTGTCCTTGGCAGCAACAGTGAAAAGGCTTCAGCCACACAGAGACGAGGACAAAAAAAAAAAAAAAGAGTACTATCCCTAGCTTTTCCGTGTTGTTTTCTGGAAAACATGATTAAGTCAGCATTCCTAGGAAAGGTGAGGCACCTTTTGACTTGTGAGTGCAGAAATGGTGCAAGATGGCACTGTGCCCAGAGGCACGGGGATGAGCTGATTAAACAGCTCACAGGGTCTTCAGAGAAAATTATGTGCAGCCTCGATGCACCCGCAGGTTTAATTTTCTTTTACTGCTATCTTCGGTTTCTTTCCTCCCATGTTTATCCACTTCATTTGGGTGAAGGGTGGGGAGGAAGAGGAGGAGGTGCTCTTTCAGCTGGAGGTACTTTAGGGTTCATCAAGGAAGGCTGCTGTCCCCGGGCTGCGGAGGTGCTCGTTTCCAGGTTCTGAGGGGAGAAGGAAAGCCTGCCCGAGAAACAGCATCTGCTGCTCAAGTGTCGTCTGCTCTGATCGCCTCTTTTGGCTTTTTTGAGGAAAAATTGAGCCAATTTCCTCAGGTAGTGTTTATTTGAAGTGAAAAAAACCAGCAAAACCAAACAACAAAAAGCCCCACGTTTCTGTGAGCATCTCTTCGTAAAGTCTCTTCACCTCCACGCAGCGAGCGCTCTCCCCCCTTCCCTCGCCGCGGGCCCCACCGCGGTGCCCCCTCCGTCCTTTCCCGGGACGCGTTGCCAGGGGGATGGCGGCGGCCATGAGGGCCGGCAGGGGAGGCTCGGCGGGCTGGCCCGGGCAGCAGCGCAGGTACCGCGGTAACAGAGGGACGGAGGGCAAGGCAGAAAGGGCAGAGGGTCTTGGTGTGGCTAGGGGTTTTGTGGTTTGTTTTTTTTTTTTTTTTTTTTTGGGGGGGGGGGGGAGTTGTTGTTTTTTTTGTTGTTTTGTTTTAGTTTGTTTTGGTTTTGTTTGTTTGTTTTTAATTCTCCTGTTAGAAAATAAAGCCCTGGTTTTGGAAAAATGCCCCCTTCTCCCCTCACTCTTCAATAGCTTATGTTGGTGTTGCTGTGGAGGCTGACTGACCCTGAGGCTCGTTGTAAACCGCCTCTGCAAGTCATTTTTTCAATTTTCAATTTAATTTTGCCTTTCAAATACCCTCCCTTCAGCCCCCCCCCCCAAAAAACCCCAAAAACACCCCAACCACTTTTGCCTCAAAAAACACAACTTCTGCAGGTGCAGAGCTGTACCCAGTGATCCACGTGTGGTGCAGTTGAAGCTCAATGAACTTCACCTGATCATTACAGCTTATCTTTATACACTCAAGGTCAAAAAGATTTTTCTTACTAAGTGTTGCAGAAGGGAGTATCTTTCACGGAGTAGGAATTTATAGTAGTTATCTAAGAATTTCTTCTTTGCATCTCTTCTTCCTTTGAAACTGGTTTGCTGGCTTTGATGTGAATTTAAGGGAGAGAATATTGCTTAGAAGGATCAAACTCTTTTGTACTGAAGATATAGTAGAAAACTTGTAACAGCTTTGTATTGCAAAAGATAAAAAAATTATTTTTGTTTGAACAGCTCGGTACCTCCTTAACAGTTGAACATCACTTTTGTAATGAAGCTATGTTGCTCTGAGACAAAAAAATACAGAATTCTGGTAGTCTGTGGTGGCAAACAACTGCTATTATACTAAATACAATTGTTATGACCCAATTACAAAGTTTTTGTTAGCACTGCTTACTGTTAGAGATGACAGCAACCTGCTCCACCTTCTACCTGTCTGAAGTCAAATAGTTTGTGAATGTTGCTTTTGGGACTCAGAAGCACCTTAGAAACTATGTATTTATAAAATGTGGGTTACAACTACAGCACTAATCAGTCTTTAATTGTGTATATACCAGCACACTTAAATATTTCTAAAATATTTGTGTTTTCTTGATTGCTGTATAATAGGCATTGTAGGAAAATTGCAAGTGTTGGCATTGCAAGAGGGTCTGTTTTTTAAATCTCGCATATAAATTATTCTGTTACAGAAGTTATTTAACTCTATTCAACACTGATAAAGCAAAAGCAGTAGAACAAGTTGTTTGCACAAATCCCTGCATAAGCACTTAATTTTATCTTAGCAATTACCCTTTTTATTGTTTTGGAAATAAACACAGCAGCTTTTTGTTAATAATTTTGGAAAAGCTGTGAGAGAAAGTGTCAGGAGAGTGCCATATTACTTAATTTATTCATGCAGACAAAAGATGAAGTAACTCAGAAAACATATTAAGCAACATTTAGAGCAGGTGATGTGTCTCTGTAATTGCTTTGAGATGAGTGCTGTCTTTCATCATTTTAAATGCATTTATTACATATAAATGGGAAGTCATCTCATCTTAACAGAGAAAAATGTAAAATGAAAACGCTTTAACTGCTGCTTGTAGTAGTAGCAGGTAAGACTAAAATTTTTATTGTGATGAAACTTTCATTTGGGCCCGTTAATCAAGCTTGAAATTGGCCTCTTAAGTAGAGGAACACCAGAGGGTGATTTTTATCTTCAGTAATACCTTTCAATGATTACTGCAAAGGAAGGAGAGTAGACTTCAGCAGTAGCCTTCTGAAAGGAATTTAGAAAATCCCTTTGGTAATTTATCTGAACTGCTGGGAATATTTAGTTTTACATGCTTCTGGAACAGTACACTAATGCAGAAAAACTTCACAGACATATAACAATAACAAGAAAAGAACTTTTCAGAATTACACAAAATGCAAGCAATGAATTGGGTGTAGTTACAAGGAGAAATCAGCAAAGGGAAATAAGACTTTACTGAGCAGGAAGTGATCGAAAGTAATTGGTTTTTTCTGGCATTTTAAGATGTGCAAGAGCAACTGACAGAATGGAAATAGTTGTGAAATATTCTTTGCAAATTTTGATTTATGTTAGTAAGTCATTATCAGTACAAACATTTTGAGATTCCTGACAGGCAAATTAGGCAAAATATTATCTATAAAGAAGTCAACATTACCCAAAATATACATACAAGATATTTAATTTGTGAACTTTTTTCTCCCTTGAAGTGACTCCAATTAATTTTAATATGTTTTCGCATGTGTTAACAAAATCTGAGTCACTGTGTAATAGTGTCTTACCCCTCTCATGCGCATTGGTGCGTGTAGCTGCTGTGGCTTTTCTGAAGCAATGTGCATGCTGGATGTAGCATGCTGGATGTAGCTGCTGCTACCAAGAAAAGTCTGCTGTAGCCAAGTGCTGCCTGCCTTCCCTGCATTTCACTCAGAAATTAATCTCTAAAAATTGTCCAGTGCTTGATTTTCATGTTACTTATTAAAATAAGATTTGCTTTTTATCCTGTAGATTTTATGAAAAGAAATGTATTCTAAAACTTGTTTTAGAATACATTTGTACAATAGATTATTTTCAAAAAAAATTATGTATTTGCTGCATGCTGAAGTAGAATTTTCTTTTTAGATCAATTTATTCAGAAATTTAAGCTAGTTAGGTTGTGGATGGAAACAAATTTTTAATAGTAAGTTTCTAGCTGTAGGTAGAATAGTGAGTATCAAAACAATATTCAAGATCCCTTTTTCAGCAGTTCAGCCCATACAGAATGAATTCCTCCTGGTTCCTCTTGTCCTGGAGAGCACCTTAGCCTCCAGACCCAATAACAAGTGTGAGGACTAACATTTCTTTGTGATTGCTCATGGAGATAAATTCTGTGTGGAAATTTTTCAGCTGCCCATTCTTCCCAGTACTTCATGTTGGATGTCTTCTTCTTTCTTGTTGCGGCAAATAATAATAATAATAAACTGTGCTGTTGAATTGTGTTTTCAGAAGTTAGAACAATTTTCATCCACATATGCACCCATGAGCATTCATTTGTCTTGGGAAGAAATATTGCAGATTTGGGATTTGTCATTTCATTTGTTTTCAGAATATGAACAGTTATGACACTGGGAATTATAGAAACTGTTGAATATTGCACTGTGTCCAGTCAGTTAAGTTAGGTCATGTGTAATTGCTCAGATTTTTTTTTTTTTACTTTTGAAATATGTCAGTGTAGAAGACGTGCAGGACAAAAGGAGAGATGAAATAAAACTTGGAGCACGTGAAAAGCAGTGGCAAAGGAAGCGATCACTGCACAAAGGCTGACTGGTGAATGTGACCTCGAGAAGTCAAAGTGAAGGTTTCTGTTCTAGTTAAGTGTGTGTATGAATATTGTGGAGGCTATCAAAGTGCACACAGCTACTAGAGAAACTTTCCCATGGTGTTCTGCTTTTATGCCCAACTTTGCTGATGGTAACCTGTGAAAAAGTTTAGTACAGCAGGCCTGTTAAAAATTAGTGTCATGTGCCATCATATTACAAATCTATTTAATTTTCAACCTTTCTTCCCCTTCCCCCCCCATTTATTCTGTAGAAACAAAGGAAGAATGGATTCGACAAAGGTTCGTGAGTCATCATTTTTGGTATGTCAACCCCAATGTGATTAGATGCTTTGGGAATGGGAAGAAGAAATCCTTGCCCTGAGGAGTGTCCATCTGCTGTGGGCAAGAGGCAGTGCACTGACAAGTCACTCACGGTAGCAGTGGTGCTTAAAGGCTTATGGGGGGCTTTCTGTTTCAATAAAGACATTTTTAAGCATGTGCTTTGGCAAAGGGCTAGAGAGAATGTGTGCAGGCAATGGCAGCAGTAGCAGCATTTGCTAGGGCTGAAATAAGAAATGCTTCAGGAAATAAAAGCTGCCAAAGCAGAATGGGAGTGAGTGACTTGAAAAGTTGGCTGATTTCAAAGTACATGGATAGGTGTAAAACTACTGAAGGTTGTTGAAGTTTCATTGTTCCTTAATCAAATGAAGTTTGCCAACTAAAAGCTGGCTTCCAGGGAGGTGAAGGTAGTTATTTGGTAAAAAATCAAAACAAAAATGGGCAACAATAACAACAATGACCATATATTGTTGATTTTCTAAGGAACATTTATTGCTAACAAAGCCAAAGGTCCAAGTAGATACTGCTCTTACGTATAGTAAATATACGTTTAGCTTCTGTTTAGCATTTGATGTTAAATGAAAACTTCATTTTCTTGCAGGTAAGTAGAAAGGGATCAAAAAAGTTAATAATGTGAATGGGAGAACCACCCAAAACCTAGATTATTTAGAGTAGATTGAGTGATAGTATATTAAGGCTTCTCCTGTCTACTGCCTCTTATTCTTTTAACACTTTATTAATTCTATTTTATTAACAGTAATCAGTATAGACTACAGAGTACTTATGAAAGATCACAAATCCGAATTTTTCCAGAGATGTAAAAGTGCCACATCCCCATTACAAATTTTATCCCTACAGTAGAGTCATGCCAAGTTAATTGAGTTGTCTGATAGGTCTTATTAAAGATCAGACTTGCGTCTGACTGATGGCAAAGCATAGAAACATAGAAAAGTATTAATACTAAAGCATGCCCGTTTCCTGCCAAAAGTGTGATGGTAATGCTAACTTTCCTAGTGTGATGCTACCACGTGTGATTAGCTTTATATGTGCTAAGGCACTGGAGGATGCAGAGATCTGCCTCTGTAAATCTCACTAACACTGTAGATGAGTGAAATGGTAATTCCCATTGACTTTTGCACCTGGCTTCATTTTAACCTCTTTTTTTTTTTTTTAATCCTTTTGGATGTGTATCTGAATCTTTAAAGTGCTCATCATTTTAAAATCTAGGTTTGTATGAAAAACACAGATTTTGGAAGTTGCAGCTGCAAAGCTGTTACATTGGTTGTTGCTGCTGAATGGGGGCTTCTTTCTTCATCAATGCTCTGAAATGTTTTTATTTCATCAGTTTTGAGATGTATTCCTTCCTTCTGTGAAGTCATAAGTGGCTGTGTTTGTTTAGGGAAGAAAAAGAAAATCTACGTTAATACAGTACTATAAATATAATAACATGTGTAAATGGCATACAGCATTACTGTTTGCAAGCTCCATCCGTGGTTGTGGAGCCCTGGTGTATTACAGAATGAAAAAACACTCTCTGCATCAAAGAATTTCATGTGGTTGTACAGTGTGAAACGAGTGGAGCAAAAGGAAGACAAAGTACCAAGGAGGTGGCACATGCCTTTCCTCACTCCCTCAGCAGGGTGATAAAGTGTTGAGAACATTAGCAGCCCTTTTATCTTTGAGACTGTGTTGTATGTGGCCATGAGCTTACTCCATGTATCTGATTGGCTTGGTGAAAGTGGCAGCTCCCTCATGAAAGAGCACAGCTGAGTGTCTCTGGGGGAGATGAATGCAATTAAACTTGATGGGTCTAATCCAGCGTCTACTAGCGCATTGAAGAAAGATGAAAACAAAGAGTTGGCAATATTATAGCAACTAATCCAAGGTGATTTATCTTCTCTTGCAGTCTTTACTAGTAGTTTTGCCTTATTCTCCAGGGATTTCTCTGTGTGTTTCTTGGTAGAGATTTATTTTACTCACTGTTAATTTTTTTTTCTGTTTAGGATGGGTAGGAGCTGCACTTGTAATTTATCTCAGCCTGGAAACTGATGCTGATGTAGTAAAGCATGAAAGGAAGACACCTTGTCTCTGTCTCTATTGGGATGCCTGTTCCAACAGCAGTGATTGGCTGGGGGAGTTTTGCATTTTGAAATGCATACCCAAATGCATGAGGATTGAGGCCTGTTGTAGAGCTGATGGATTGAAAATATCACATTCGATCCTATGCCATGTGTGCTCCCAGCATAACTTTAACTTAGTTGTGTTCTGAAGAGGTTGTGTTTCATCATTTTATAGTTACTATCAATTGAAAAAAAGGTTCCATCTAATAAAACTCATGTCAAGACCTCAGGTCAGAATTTTCTTCTTGAAAGACTTAAGTAATAAAGGCCAAGAAATCCATTGCATTCCTGCTCTACTCTAGAAGAGCAGAGGAGTGCAAAAAGGAGAAAGCCTACTGTAGAATCTAAAGGGCACGGCCGAAAGAGTTGTGCAAGTGGTGTGAAGGAGACTGTGCTAGAAACACAGAGGCAGTGCTTGCCATAGAATCAGGACTTGAAAAAGAATGAAGGGAAGTCATCATGGTGATTGCTGGGGATGAGAACACATCAGTCAGAAGGCTGAATCCTAGTGATGAAGTTCAAAAGGACCTTTAGCCTTGACAGGTTAGAAGTAAAAGAACAGATGGCAAGCCAAAAAGTGACTTGGAGGGGCAGATACAAGTATCTGAGTAGACACAAACTCTTCAACCTGGTAGAGAGACTGTGGAGATTAGATATGATAGAAATCAGCAAAATCATGACTGGCACAGAGAAGATTAGTAGCCACTGCTTTTTCTTTCAACAATTCTTCCAAAATAAAAATGAGGGGACAAGCAATGGAACTGAAGTCTAAAAACCAAAGTGGTTCTTTGCATAAGATACATCCGAGGACTCCCACTGGGTTAAAATTTACGTGAGTTAAAAGAGTGACTGGATAGGTTTGTCGAAGAGGGACCTTTTGAATGTTGCCAAATACATAGAAACTGCTGGAAATAGCCAGAGCTGAAAGTAGTGGAAGGCCATGGGATTGTTGAGGGGGAATATCTTACAGGCTGTTATACTTTAGCACTGATATTTGTGGCTGAACTTACAGATTAAAGTAGTGAGTGGTAGAAAAGTGACTGTTTAACCTATTTTTCAGTAAGGGCATGCTACTCTGGGAACAGCGTATTTGGAATGATGTGCTTTATGAAACAAAAAAGCACTGCAGTAAAAATGTTCAAAAGTGCAATCTCCAATGGTTTTGTTTTCATACTGTCTTCACAGGAATCTCATGATCATGTTCTTTTGGATATTCCTGTCACTAGAGAGCAGTTGAATCACTATCGAGCTGCAGCTGAAGCTGCTCAAAGTGAACTTGCAGCACTTTCAGTGAAGTATGATTGTGTCGAGTCACAGGTACATTTAAAAGCATTTCAAATCCTTCTCTAAACCTAAAAATTCTTTGGGGATACTTTATACAGAGAATAGAAAGCTTGCAGAAATCCCAAAACTTGCTTTTACAACAAACTTTTGGTTTTTTGTAACATTTTTGGTTTTAGAATTTCTGTGTGATTTTTACTTTGCTTCCTTCTGTGATCAAGAGCTAATTATGAGTTTCTGTTTGAAAGATTTGAATCAGTCTAGCTTTTTGTCATTGTCATCTAAATTCAATCATTTTGTTTTAAACCTGAAAGTTAGTATTTTTAAATTAGGGTTGTGTAAAAGTTCTGATAGATGTCCTCCTGTTGTTGCTGGTGAGTTAAAATATGGCTGCTCATCTTTACCCATTTCTCCTCTTTATTCAAATCACAGCTCCACAAATTTGCTTTGCTTTTATCATCAGTGAAATTTTGTTTGTACTAATGAGGTTGATTGTAACTAGAAAGGCTGAAGAACACGTACACATACTTTGCAGCTCTTCCTGCTGTCTAGACGGTGCTTCTCAGGAGGGGTTTTATTACAGGATATTTCCACAAATATTTTTTTTGTAATGTATGACTGGCTAAAGTTGATTTGATCAGTCAAAGTCAGCAGTGTGGGCAGTGGTAAGTTTTAAAATGGAGTAAAATTTGCCTTTAGAAGACATGAAATGCTTATGTTTATTTACATATATTTACAGTATCCAGACAGAGCTACAGGAATAAGTGTCCATTGGTTGAGCTTTAATTTGATGAGTTGATTCTGAAATGACTGCAGAGTTCCCCTGCATTTAACATCCATCCAGGATCAGTGCTTTAAATTTCAATTTTAAAAAGCCATACAGAATCTCATGTTCTCATACAAAGAATTTATTACTGGAAATGTTGAATGACTTTATTGCCAGAACGACTGAATGATTTATAGATTCTTTCAAGACTGCGCTTGCAAAAGCAAAAGAATAGTCAAGAAAGCAGCTGTTCATGCTCTTGTTAATAAAGACCTTCATGACCCAGCTGAGGTCAGAGCCTTGTTCTGCTGAGTGCTCTGTAAAACTCATGATATGGGATTATTCTTGCTTTTTCTACTATTGGAACTGACCACAAAGACAATGGACAGAGGAAAAAAATATCATATGGGGAGTTGAACCACAGAGAAATTTTAAGGTTATGAACACTCTGAGATACCAGAGTTTGGTCCAGCTGCCAAGCAAAGCAATTCTATTGTTCCTTTAGCTGCTCATTTCCTTCCCCACACTGCCCCACCCCTTGTGCCGGCACAGATGTATGTGTATTTTTTATGATGCACTGTTTTGTCGATGCAATTGAAAAAATCATTCCAGTTGTGTTTTAGCCAGATCAGTTTCCCAATCTTATTTCACCTTGTAGCCATATTAGTGCTTCTGCTAGCACAAAGAACAGGGTGGAGTATGGAAATGAAGCCCATGAACCTGGGAAAAGGCCAAGCTGCTTTTCTTAAAGTCAGTGCTGCTTTATGTCAGCTCCAAGGTGTCTGATAAACCAGCACTTGCATGTGAAGCATAAGCTTTTTGAAAGTTGTGCTGCTGCTGTAAGGGTGATTCTCCTACCTGATTTCTCAGTGTTAGCCTTTTCTCTGTGATGTGGCCAGGTCCACTTCCTCTTTCTCCCCTGTGAGAGGAAAAGTGAATTCTTTTCTGACAGCTGTTATTTAAGTTGCTTGTGGAGAAGTCAGACAAACAGAGCTGGTGCAAGGTAGAGGACAGGCATGTGTGGCTGGAAGCAGGAGAAGCAGGACGTCTCTTTTCCAAGGGAGTTGCTGTTCAGTTGGCTCACCAGCCTCTTGAATTTCTCTGAATATTCTTGGGTTTGGTCACACTGGAAAACTCTGGCAGAGCAGTGAATTTTACATTGTGCTGAATTGCAGTTCAATGTCGTAAATATTTTTGCCTTAAAATGTTTTCCACAAGTTAAAAGCCCTACCACTCTTCATAAAGAGCAGTTAATGTGGCTTAATTATTTGTCTGTTAATTTTATGTAATAGGAGAGGAATGCTTTGGATTGCATCTTGCTGCTTTTAATTGGAATTGTCAGGAGATCTGAAGCATGCCTTAATGCTTCTTGTGATAAAAAAATCAATTTTAAATTATTTATTCCTTTTAACAAAATTGCAAGGAAATTTTATTTGCCTGGTGTGTCTACCTCAAGCTCAGTCTCCTTCAGAAGCTTGTAGCAGAGATAGTTCAATGGAAAATTGTATTTTTAACTAAAAGAGAGAGGAAAGCCAAAAAACTGCATTGAATTGGATTATCAGACCAAAAAATAGCGATTTACATAAGATGAGAAGAGGTTGCCTACCGCACAACATTCCAAAGATTTACTTGCCTCTGAAAATGTCACAAATTATGAAGAGGCTCCATACCCATACAACAGGGTACTTTGCTGTTACAGCTTCCTGCATCTTTAGATTTTCTGTGGAATTGTGCACCAGAATTGGAAGGAGGCAAGTGGCAGGCAAAAAAGAGGGAATAGTGGTGTTAATAATTTTATTGTAAAGCAGATGCATGCAAGACAAGGTTGTACAGCAGAACTTAAGGTAAAATTTTCCTAAATTTTGAATTATTAAATAAACTTATCTTCCTGTAAGATATTATCGTGAAAAATTGTGTTGTGTTACCCTACAGTAGCTTTTGTTCTTACAAACCTCTTCCATTACTTTTTCCTAGTTATATGAAAGTAAAGTTGTATCCCTCCACTCAGTCTTTTAGTGGTAGAAAACTGAATCTTCTGTTCCAAATTGTGGTTTTTTGTCACATTACTAAGCTTGTAGTACAGTCATGTTATTTCACAGAATCACAGAATATGCTGAGTTTGAAGGGACCCACAAAGATCATTGAACCCAACTCCTGGCCTTGCACGGGACCATCCCCAAGAGTCACACCATGTGCCCTGGAGTATCATCCAAACGCTTCTTGAACGCTGTCAGTCTTGGTGCTGTGACCACTGCCCTGGGGAGCCTGTTCCAGTGCCCAACCACCCTCTGGGTGAAGAATCTTTTTCTCATACCCAACCTAAGCCTCTTCTGACAGAGCTTCAGGCCATTCCCTTGGGTCTTGTCACTGGTCACCACAGAGAAGAGAACAGTGTCTGCCCCTCCTCTTCCCCTCACAAAGAAGTTGTAGAGTGCAGTGAGGTCTCCCTTCAGTCTCCTCCAGGCTGAACAGACCAAGTGACCTCAGCTGCTTGTCATACAGCTTCCCCTCAAGGCCCTTCACCAGCCTTATTGCCCTCCTCTGGATAGTTTCTAAGAGCTTAATATCTTTCTTATATTGTGGTGCCCCAAACTGCACACAATATTCAAGATGAGGTTGCACTAGTGCAGAGTAGAGCAGGATAATCACCTCCCTCGAACCTGGGCAAATTATTCTCCATTAATTTTCTCTTTTTCTGTCTATAGCTTCTTGAACTCAGGTCCAGCATAATCTCTAAAGAAGCTTCTTTTCAAGAGCTGAAGGCTGAAGCTGAAAGCTATAAGGAAAACAATGCTAGACAGAAATCTCGCCTCCTGTCTTTGCAAACACGAATCCAGGAGATGGAGGAAGAGCTGTGTGTGCTTGCCACTTCTAAAAACCAGGCTGAGCTGACAGCTCAGGTGGCATATAAGGAAAACTGGGAGCTGAAGGAGGAACTGCACAATCAAAATACCAAACTTAAGTAAGAGTCATGTAAGATGAGAATTAATTTTTGGTTGGGATGACAGAATGGTGCAATTGTCAATGCAGAAAAATATATTGGTGGACAATCTTTATTTCAGTTCTAAATTCTGTTACAATGTCTTGCAAAACTATTGTACCTGAGTGTGTGGAACGTGTTGAAATTTGAATTTTGTTTTGAGTTGTTAGCCCATAAATAGGATTTTGAGTGTTTTGTCCTTCAAAGGTGAAATGATGATATAAGTCAGCTTGGTGTAACCTCATTGTTTACAAAAAAAGAAGCACAGAGGACTTTTACTCTGAACACAGTAGAAGTTATACATATGCTTTCCTCATTTAGGTTATTTCCATGTGTGGCACTGAGGCAAACTTTGTACAGACTGGTGCCCTGGTCTGTCCTTATTATGTGCCATCTTTTACAGACGTTTACCATGGGCATACTGCATAGACTATGCAGTGGTGAGTGACTGTGCTCCTGCACCGCCCCAATCTGTTTTCCCTTCTTCTCTGTCACAGCTGGAACCAGAACAGCATCAAGTGAATTTCTTTCTTAGTGTAAAGCTGTCTGTTAGGAGCAGTCTAATAAAGGAAATATGGTATAATTCCTAGTTAGTAGCATCCTGAAAGGAACATGTTAATGTTTGTACAGCTTTCAGTAATGTTAGCTTTCTCTGACATTGCTTCTGCTTTCTTTTGGATGTTGCTGTGTGGTCTTGTTTTGTTTACTTTTTTAATGTGCATAAAACTGATAATAAAAGGCAGTGTCTTTTAACTATACTGTTCTTAGCATAGTGTATCAGAGCACTTATCTGTCAGTTCTACATAATTGCTCCTATTTCTGTGGGAGGGACACTGATAGCAATGTTGATCACAAATCAAATTGCTGTGAAAATATTCTGAACACTAAAATTTGAAAATCGGTATCAGTCATGTTAATAGACACCTTGTAGACTTTTGTAATGGATTTTTCCACCCGTTGGCAGGCTGATATTCATAATTCTCTCAATACTGTCTAGTTAAGAGCAAGGTGAGTGTTTACCAGATGTCTGTATTTCCCAGAATAGTATTTTGCACAGCTCTGCCAGGCTTTGTGTGTTAGAAGTGAATAACTAAGTTATTTTAAAATCTAGCCGATTTGCCAAAAGTTCTGCCTAGAGAGTGCTTATGTTGATTACCAAAGATTTTAGATAGGATCCCAGTATAAGTGAGGTTATAGTTAAGTCGAGAAGTGTATTATGCATCCTAGCAGCATAAAAAGCATCAGTCTCTGACATAATAACTATTAAGATTCTTTAAAATGCTGTTTCTGGTGGAGAAAAAAGGGAAGAAAAACCCACTCTCCCATTTGCCTAACTCACTGGGAGAAAACTGCTGAAATATTGTGTATCATACAGTGATATGATCGATTTTATGGGCATAAATCTCTGCTGTCACTCCCAGAGCTGTCCTGGCTTCTCTCTTTGGCTCATGAGACTTGTGTCATCAGTTCTCTTTTGTGTTGCTGCATGGTGATCAGGACCAGGTGACTGCTCCAAGAGAGAAGTGAGCAAAATAAAATATTGATTTCCAGCTCTGCCAATCCCAGATCTGGTTCACTGTGCACCTGGAGTGGACCACTGGACTTCTGGCAAAAGGGAAGGGGTAACGGGAGACTGAGTCTGCTCATTTGGAGGAAACAAACATGTTGGATTGGCCATGAATGTGCAGTGTTTGCTTTCCAAGTTTTTTCTCAACCCCAGCTAATGGTTACATGTGTCACTTAATACTAACCAGTGTACTGACTTAATGAGCTTCAGTCACAGTCTAACCACCTTGGTAGTGCGTGGCACATGACTAGTCCTAATTAGGTATTCAAAAAGATTTTCACTGAACATCGCTAATGAAATGGAAGAGCAAGCCAGTATGTAGGAAATGCATATTTGCAATTCTGTTCCTGGGGATAGAGTAAGAAATGTTTGATGAATTCTATGATTGGCTTCCAGGATGTGCACCTCTCCTGTTGAAAATGGTGCTTTTTTACTCAACAGATCTATTGCCATGGCATATTTAGAGTGTGAACTGTGAAAAGCTTTTTTCTTCCTTTTCCTTCCTTCTCTTTGCTCATTAGTTCTAAAGAGCTAGCAAAGCTGTGAAAAAGCTGTGTTCTACTTTTTTTTGTACCTGATTGCCTATTTTCTGGGTGCTCACACCTTTATGGCCCTACTGGAGGTAATTAGGTTATTCGTAGAGTTATCAAGTACGTGCTTTGTACTTCAGATTTTTTATTTTTAGAAGCAGACATGGTTCTGTGTGTGGATGCCTCATTTTTTTAGAGCCACAGAACAGTTGCGGGATTGGTGGTCAATCTTATACCATATTCTAACATATAGGCATACATGTATGGCATGTCTGGAACCTCATGCCTTTTCACTTGTGGCATACCTCCCTCTCAGGACAGCAGTTTGGTGACCAGCAGTTTAGTGACCATCTCACAGCTTTTGCTGGTGCTATAGAGGAAAGGAAGGTGCCTGGAAGTGAGAAAGCTGTGAGGTTCTTGTTTTCCAAGGGCCAGTGTCTGCTGCAGAAGGCAGAGCTCTTTTGGCTCACAGTGTGTGCTGTACAGTAATTATGTGGAACTACCCTCATAATGTCCAGAGCAGTAATTAATGTTATTAATTTTTTGTTATTCTACAGTTCTCTTTCACTTTGCAGCATTGTCAGCAGCTGTGCTGTTCTCCCTTCTAAGGCTACACCTTAAATATTTTCGTGGACCATCTGTTTTACTTACTGATTTAAAGCCATTTAATGTACTGTGTTTGCACTCACTGTGCATTTCATACCGGAGTCTCATGCTGCTCATGATGCTTTGTTTGACTGCCAACCTAGGGAGGAAGAAATCAGAAATGGAAAAGAATGAGTCCAGAAATGACTACCATGCCCACCTTGAAAGCTGAGAATAGTGCTATACTCTAATAAGCAAACGAGTTTCAACAAAATATTTGCTTTAGATAGCTGTTTGGTTATATCTCATGTCTTGGTTTCTTCTAGTATGAAGAACTGGCTTTAGAAAGTACCTTGTTTTTCAACTGGAAGCATAATAGCTTGTCTTCCACTCTACCACTAAGTGGTTATCTGAGAGGTATTGGAGTTGTTTTTTGGATTACACTAATGGTCATTTTGAGCTTTGTTTGGTTGGCTGTTTTTGTTTCTCTCATTCCTTGTAGTTTTTCATAAGTGATGTGTATTTCAGCATCATGAGCAAGATTTTTTATCTGTTAGCTACCTATGCAGATTGTGGTGTTCTTGTTTGCTGGACTTGTCTTTGTCCCTGGCAAGGGAAGTGATGTAACCACATTTATACTAATGAGTTAAACTGACTGCTAGTTTAGTTGGTTGGTTGTTCTTATCTGCCATTTACAAACTGATACCTGCGGTTAAGGCTGGAATATGTATTCACACGATAAGCACCTGCTCAAAGTTACGAAATTGATGGCAAAAAGCTACTTTTCCTTCCAACTTTTGTCTTAGTCCTTAGATATTTTCTTTTTTAATCCATCCATTTCATTGATAGTGCTGCACCGCAGAAGACTGTGTAGCAAAGCAGTGTCTCCCATCTCTGCTTCTGTTGGTAAATTTCCCTTCACAAGGTACTCTGGATGTCTTGCACTTCTGTTAGTCCAGAGAGGCTTCTCTTTCCTTGGAGTTTGTTGGTCAGCACTGTCAGCTTTTTTAGAGGGGGGAAGTGGAGTGCTTTCAGCATATTTTTACTCAAAGTTGATTACTCTCTTCCCCCCCTTACCTTTTCTAAGCTTTTGCTTGCACTTTCTACTGCTAGTGTCTTGAGGGCACTACTGATTGGTGTCACCTGATTCTTGTGTTTTATTTAAATCTTGTGCTGAGAATGAGGTTGGGATCATAGAATACTCTTTGAAGTGCCAATCAAAAGCAAAGATAAATGTTTACACAAGGGAACAACAAAAGTTATATGTATTAAATAACAGACCATAGAAAATTAAATGTAACTTTTAAAATTCATTTGCTGGTATGCAGAAGCTAGCAATAGTCTTGGGATAATGTCTTTTGCCTTGAATTCTTTTTCAGAGAACATTCATCCTGGTGTGTGTATTTTTTTTCTGTCTGACTAGTAAATATTGGAATAAAAGTGAAGAAAACATGACTCAAGCTTCTAAAATCAGCAGGAAGTATGAAGAGCTCCTTACACAGCTTTCTGGATTCTTGGACACAGACATCAGAGAAAAAGAGAAACCACAAGAACATTTAATGTCGAAGGTGATTATGTGAAGCCAGGGGGTTCTCTATAGCGATTTAATGGAAAAATATTTGATTGTCATAGAAATAAAGCAAGTGATGAAGATCTTTGTGTTTTATAATAGTTTGCAGACAGTGCTGTCATTTAAGACAGACTTTTTTTTTCATGTTGGGCTAATTTTCAAAGGTGCTGAACACTAATAGACCTCAGTGAACTCAGTCTGCTCTTATCTGCATAAATATTTTATCACCCGAGTTCAGTTTATCAGCCCTGATTAGATACTTGGTTGAAAGCTTTCCTGAAAACATTAACACTGGGAGTCACTAGGTGATGTGTAAACATATGGCACTAGATCTTTACACTTATCTCGAGCTGACATACCATTAAATAGAAACATCTGAAATGGCATACTCTAAAGCAACCCTAACTGTGCCCTGTAATAAAATGCTGTAAATAACTTTGTGGTGTTTCTGAGACTTAATCATAAACCACTACTATTTCTCTTCAGAATACTTCTGAAGTTCCAAAAACTAAGCTTCCATTTAGGAAAGGAAAATAGTTTGGATATTCTTTTAACCTCTGTCAATGCTGTTGAAAGACATATTAGTCTAATTTTATGCATTTTACTTGTCTTCTGTCTAGTCTTTGATATCCCTGTTTTTCTTTGGAGCACATGAGGTATTTGGGGAAATTCTGTTTTACTATGTTCACATCATTGTAAGAGTTCTGTCTTAATAAATTAAGATTATCTAGGTATGTATCACAGTGATTTCTTAAAGTACTTGCCCTCATAATATTACATAATATTGCAAGCACATTGAAATTGTAATAGGTACTCTAACAAAATTTAGCTAGATGTCATGCAAGAGGCACTCTTTCATACTTTAATGAATTAATGTAATTAGTAATTGGAACTTTAAAAAAATCTATTTTGATGTCTTTTAACGATGTAGTAATAAATGTACTTGGGAAATCTAATTGTCCTGAAAACTGTGTGCATTAGGAAACCTTAGCAACTCATTTTTCTTGGGTCTTGGCACATCTGTTTAGCTTCTTTTCCATGTTATGGTTTTATTTAAGACAGAATTGATCTGTTTTAGTCTTAACAAATGTCTTGCCAGTAGGAATCAGGGTACGTTTTTTACTCACTCTTTGAAGTGCCCACATTCATTAATTCCAGTTGTTGGAAACAGCATAACGTACCAAAACAGCCCTAGAATACTCCTGGAAAGGACTCCTTTTTCCAAGGTGTTGGCAGCTCATAATGGCAGCACACCATGTATTTGCCCCTGCCCTTGGATTACTTGTGAAATATCCGCTACTAACTCAAATCTCCTTTGCCTAAAAAGTTTTGAGCATAAATTGCAGCTTTCTTGTTCCAGATGAAAGGCACACATCTTAAAAAGCCAGGCTGAAATTGTCTGCTTTTCACATGAAGCAGTTACGTGATCTTTTTTCTGGCCTTCATGTCAAGCACGGATATGCAGCAGCAGTAGCTCTCCACCTGCTTAATAGATCATGAAGTTTGTGTTGGAGTAAATCTGACCCACTTTATACTAATGTGGGGGTTTATGGTGAAAATACAATTCTATGATTTTAATTGTCTTTCTGCTCTTTTATAAATGAGTAGCAGAGTGCAGTTATAAATCTGCAGGGGTCACCAGGAATACCATTTCTTTACTGGGATGATTAGGAGCAGGTATACAGGGATGAATATATGTAATTTTTAAGTGCTTTTAAGAAGCTACTAATACTTGAATTATTTCTCAAGGTTTCTGAAATATGTAAAGAAAATCTGACACTAAAAGACCGGGTTGCTGCTCTTCAAGAAGCTGTGAATGTCCATGAGATGGAGTCTAAAGCTAGCAGAGAAACTATCATGAGGCTAGTTTCAGAAGTGACAAAGGAGCAAAAAAAGGTGGCAGGATACTATCAAGACATGGAAAAACTTAGTAAGGTACATAATTGCATTACTTGTATGTTTGTCTAGTTTTCAAACGTTTTCTTGACATTTCAAATTAATTTTCAATAGGAATTGTATGACAAAAAATGCTTCTGAAAAACTTAGGTCGATTAGGGTCTTTTCTAAAAAAGGCATTTTTCTGAGGGTATTCTTAACTTTTTTAAAGTTTCAGAATATATAGAGATGAAACAAAAACATTTTTTAAAATAGATTTGATGCAGATTTGATGTCTTCCAATGCTGTTTGCAAATTTCTACTTTTGCTTTCTTGGTATTGTTGTAGCCTTTGTTGTGCTTACACAAACATGTAAATAAACAAATGTGCATAGAGTTAATGAGTACATCTGAGGCACAAGCATGCAACAATGAAAAAGTGCTCTTCTAAATAACATTTGTGTGATACTGCAAGTTTTCTGAGATTTCATTTACTCAGTTTCTTCAAAAATTCTAATGAGAAATTGAAAGGAATTGATAAGACACTATTCTTTCTTTTAAGGAATGGAAGGTAAAGTGTCTTGGCTTCCAGACACCCTAGATTATCTTTTCACTGCATTATAAATTTGTATTTCATAACTGTTGACTCATACCCAAAAAGTTGTAGGCAGTAGGATGGCTCTTGCAGGAAAGCACTGTTTTACTCTTGGGGAGCCATAGAGGAAATCTCTGCAGCAGGAAAGATGCTCAAATGAGAAATGTGAGTTAAGTTTTAAGTCAGGTATTCACCAAATTCACCTAGCTATGATTTGGAAAGGAAAAGTACGTGATTTAAAGATTTGATTGCTCCAGGAGAACTTGTCATTAAGTTTTGTACATCTCAAATGATGGACAAACAAAGAACATTTCTGTAGCAGTTTTCCTCATTGCTTTGTACTTTGAGTGGTAACTGTGGAAAGGAAGCAGCCCATAAGGGAAATTTCCCACAGGTGGAACAGTGTGGTTAAAGCTGATGGCCAGAACTTAAGAAAATAAGAGATGAAATTTAGACTGCCAGATATGTAGCTGAGTTGTGTGCAATTGAGTTTGAAGAAATTTTAAGCATAAAGGCAACCCCTGTGCAAGTGAGTTTTCAAATGTAATACAGCATTTTCCCCACCCCCAGCATTCTTTTTTTTTCTGAACAAAAGACCGCCACCGTACACTTGAAAGGATATAGTGTTCTGATTTGGTTGTAAGCAAAATACTTAGGAGATGAGAAATAGCTGGCAGTGTACTCTGGAGAAGAAAGAATTTGTTGTGGGGAAGATAAATGTTAAGTACCGCAAGGGTCATAAATTTTACTTACTGCTGAAAATAGTTCTTACCAAGCTGTGTTAAATTTTCTAAGACTCAGTGGAACTGAGGGAGAACCTGCACAAAAACTTAAACAGGTCCTTTTTGAGAACATTTTGTTCTCATACTTCATTTCAAACACAGGTGTGTGAGGAAGAACGGAGTGTAGTTTACTTACTAAGTAAACCAGAATCAGGAGATGTTTTAAACCAAGAGTAGGGCTTCCTTTGTGACTTGTTTTGCAAGTTTGCTCTGACTGCCAAAGCATTTACTAAGTTGAGCTAGTTTTACAAAAAATATTTTCCTATCATTATTGTGCATATGCCAAATACATAATTTATTTAACTAATTTTACAGAAATGTCTTTCCAAATTATTAGCATTGCCTTTCAAATGAAGTGCATGCCATCAGGGCTTATCTGGAGGCTGAAGATTCCTCCAGTGCTTTTTCAGTGTAGCTACTTACGTTAGCAGACACTGAGTAAATCTGTTTGTGTCTGAAGGTTTTGTGTTCACAAAAGCATAGTAAGAAATTCAGTATTGAAAAGGTAAGTAAAAAAACCAAAAAATACTTAAATCCTCACATGTAAAGTGTGATGTATGGGATCCCCTGTTGCATGGATGAGTATCTTAGTAGGTTACAGGGAGGGCACCAGCAGCATAAACTCAGTTGGACTTTATCATATACTTTGCTGCACAGTTAAAGCACATGAACAGAGTTGCACATGTTATAAAATGTTCCCCTGTAAAGGCGAAAAGCTGAAAGCCATACTGTTCCTGTGCCAGAAGACTCGTGCTCAGCTGTGTGTTTCTGGGCTGTTTTCTGAATTTAATTAATGGAATTGCCTGTAGCTGAGTTTACCCAGCAGAGGTTGAATACAAGTATGCCTGTGTGTGCCCGAAGCTCTCAGGGCCAGACATTTTGGCTATCTTCAGTGAGATGGCAGCCCATTTCTGCCAGTTTTCTCTTAAAATGTTTTCTAAGCATATAGAGACCATCACACTGTCATCTCTAGCAAGAGTCAGACACTGCATTGTTCCCTACCACTTCTCTGAATAATTGCCATTTTTAATTGCCAGGTAGTTTTCCACTCCTGCTCCTTATGATTTCTGTGAACTCCTTCTCTTGACCAGGTGCTTTTCTTTATGTCCTGGAAGGAGATAGCTGTCTATATTCTAAAATTCCTAATGAAGAAAATGAAATCCAGTTGGTTATGTTTTAAGGTTAATACATTCAAAATGTTCTTAACATGTTTGATATGTATGGGTTGCAGTTATTTGGGTTTAATTCAAGGAACATTAGCAAGTGAACAAAAATTTTATCTGTTCCCCTCTGTCTTACTGTATGACAGTAGCAAGCAGCAAAGAATAAAAACCAATACAGTCTTGAAACTGTATATAAGTAAAATATGTAAGTAAAAAAAAAAGGCAGTCAAGGAGCTATTTTTGTTGTAATGTATTACTGTTCTTTTAGAATTCCGAACTTCTCACATTTCTGACAGACTATTGCAAGAGTTTGCTCCTAGAAATCTGTAAATATTGTGCGTACTGTTATTGTGGCTGTGCTGGATATCAAATTTGCATTTGATGAAAAATGACTTTTAAATGCTCCCTAGATTTCTAGAATGAGAATATCTGTTCTTTCTTTCTGTGTGTCCAGACAGTGGTTGTTGATTATGCTAATCATAATTACAGAATTATAACACTATTTGAGAGTGTCTGTAGGTCCTTTAAAATGTCTTATTAGTTCTAACAAAGTTTCTAATATTTAATAAACTCCTCTGTGGTATTTATCTAAGGTATAGAAAAGGATGCATGTATTCTTCCAGATTATAATTTGCCCTTCATACAGCATTGCCATTGATGAACCACAAAAACTAGTGGATTATATTGTTTTATTTCACATCTTTGCTGATGATTCAACCTGGAAATACTTGTGATTTCACTCTGAAGTGCTGTTTTAAACATGTGTTTTGTAAAGATGTGTGCCATGCAAAATCTTTAAAGAACATACTTGAAATATAATCAAGCAATTTTAAGGAATACAAATATTCTGATGCAAAAATTAACCAAGAAAATACTCTTCAGTATTCAATATTGTCTTGTATTGTTGTTAGTGAGTAAAATTTACCTAAGTAGTTTCTAACCAATATGTATTTATTGAAATGAATTGACTGTATAAAACCAGTTAATTAAAATGTAAAAATATTATTTAAGGAAATTGATTAAACTTGAGAAACATGGCTACCTAAAATAGCCATTTTAAATATACCCAAATACTTAGATTGCAGGAGAGACAAGCACATGATTTTAGGTTTTTCTTGTCCCAACAGACAAATAAAAGAATGAGTTTCTCAGAACCTGGATTTTTTTTCTTTTTTGTTTATATGATGTCATTAAGAATATACATATTTGAGACAGGTTTCAGCAGGCATCACAGATATTTTCAGCTTGCATCATCAGAGAAGATGAGAGCAAGCTAGTTTACAATCCTTATGGTATAACAGTGGTAACGAGATGCAGGTAGTGTAAGAATTCATCTAGAAAATACCTGTATTCTCTTTTATGCCTTCTTATTACTGTTAATGTAATGTGGGTTGTTTATATGTATGTGTAGTTGACTTACTGTATTGAAACCCTGATGCTGATTGAGGTGCTGGTATTAATAGAATCATAGAATTATTTAGGTTGGAAAAGACCTTTAAGATTATTGAGTCCAACTGTTAACCCAGCACTGCCAAGTTCACCATTAACCATGTCCCTCAGTGCCACATCCACAGGTCTTTCAAATACCTCCAGGGATGGGGACTCCACCTCTTCCCTGGGCAGCCTGTTCCAGTGCTTGAAAACCCTTTTAGTAAAGAAATTTTTCCTAATATCCAATGTAAACCTCCTCTGATGCACTATGGGGCTGCCATTTCCTCTTGTCCTATTGCTTGTTAGTTGGAAGAAGAGGCCAAACCCCATCTGGCTACAACTTCTTTAGGCAGTTGTAGGGAGCGATAAGGTCCCCCTTGAGCCTCCTTTTCTCCAGGCTAAGCAACCCCAGCTCCCTCAGATGCTCCTCACAAGACTTGTGCTCCAGATCGTTCACCAGCTCCGTTGCCCTTCTCTGGACATGCTCCAGCACCTCACTGTCTTTCTTGCAATGAGGGGCCCAGAACTGGACACAGGATTTGAAGTGTGGCCTCACCAGTGCTGAGTACAGGAGGAGAATCACTTCTGTAGTCTTGCTGGCCACACTGTTTCTTGATACAGGCCAGAATGTCACTGGCCACCTGGGCACCTGCTGGCTCATGTTCGGTGAGCACACCCAGGTCCTTTTCTGCTGGACAGCTTTCCAGCCAGTGTTTGGTGGCTTGCACTTCCTTATTTTATAGCTTGATCTTTTGATTTGACTGTGTTTGTTTTCAGATGTTCACAATTTAAACAAGATTGTAATTAGATAAGATCCCCGGTACTGGCAAACTAATTTAGCACTGCCTTTCTGGAAGGAAAAATACACACTGCTGAAAACTGTAATTGAAATAAATTACTCTTTATTCTTTGCTGTAATTACCATAATGTAATTCTGAGCACAGGTGGGAATTTCCTATTAATAGGACTTGTTTAGAATAAAAAAGAGAAAATGGCAAGGAATCATGCCAACGTGTTTCTAAAACAGTTCTGTAATTACTTTAGTATTTAGTACAATTACTATAGTAACAAATAATGTCCTAAATGACAGGGTTTGTTTTTGTTTGTGTTTTTGCATGTTTCCCATTTTGAAACTATTAAAAATTTAATTATTTTTAGAATTGTATGTTTATACTTGGTTTTCTAAGGGTGCTCTGCAAACTCCCCTTTTGTCCGTCCTCCCTGCTGATCTATGTAAATGCTCCCAGATCTGCTCCTTGATTGGCACGTATTCTATTGATACAAATGACTACAGCAAGCACACATAGACCCTGAGAGACCCTTGAGTACTCACCATATTCATCACTGCTCCAGAAACAATTCTTTAATTCCGGTGTACACAATCTTATATCAGGCCACTTACTGAGCCTCTAATAACCACTGAGACTTCCAGAGGAATTCAATCACTCTCTGTAAATATGCTGTCATCTGTCATAATTTTGTGTCTTGGGTGAAGTAATATTCTTTCCTTTTGTATCATGTGTGAAGTAATATTCTTTCCCATTTGTTCTTTTCAATCAGATAATGCCTCGAGAAATGAAGACTTAGTCTTTGTTATACTTTTAGTTGGTTTCACTGCAAATATTTTTCTTGTATATGAATATGTAGGCACTCTTGGTATTGTGGGGAAAGATTCACAAGGTGACTGAGAGAGATTATTTTCTCTTTATGTTTAGATGGTTATTTTTCTTTAATTTTTCTTTTGTTGTTTGTTTTGGCATCCTGGGTCAGGATACACAATTCTGTCTGTCTGCTTTGCCCTGTTAGGTCAATATTTTATATATAACTGATATAGATATGTATGTACTGGCTATATTTCATTGTTTCCCAACCAAGCCTTTGTTTGGTCCTTCACTTCCCATTTCTGTGTCTAGATAATCTCAGGAATTTTTGTCACATTAAGTAAGCTGATCTCAGAGATCACCTCTTATCGCTATTTTCAGACAGATTGTGTCTATTGTTTTGGTCAACTCTGAATTGCTCAGGCAGCTGGAGTTGATCACCACTGCAGGTCCCTTCCAACTGAAATATGCTATCCTATCCTATCTGAGTTGTAGTACTTTGACTTCATTAGTGTTACATCTTGTTCACTGTTTTTCAGGTTATATTATCTGAATGGAAAAATAAGATATCAATAGTTTTACAATTAAAAAATGGTTTTTTTAAACCTGCAAATTTTATTCATGTATTCCTTCCTGCTGCCCACTGCCAGAGGTTAATCTATAGAGTGATTACTGCAGACTTTGGCCTTTTAACAATTTCAATAGCAGTTCTCCTATGAAACCCTGATGTTGAATCCATACGAGCGTTATGGGTCCTAGTTTCTCTGTCTGCAGAGAAACTTTCATATGTGTATGGTGGGGAGGGGTTATAACTGATTTTAAAAATCCTGTTTAATTTTTCATGCATTTTAGGATCTTGACAGCGCTATAATAGAGAGACAGAGTTTAGAGATGGAGATCAGAAACCTCGAAGATAAACTGACTGTTAACCAGAAAGCCCTGGACACCTCAAAGAGGGAACTGCACAGTCTGAAGAAATCTTCCAGTGAGTTAGATGGAAGCTTGAAGAGCAGCAGAGCAGAAGCCAGGACTGCTTGGAGTTCTTTAGAGGCTTTTAAAGAACAAATTGCTACCCTGCTCAGCAGTGGATCTGCAATAGTTGAACCATCTGAGAAGGCCATTTTGGAGAGAATTCGAGAAATAAATTGTAAAGAGGAGAGTAAACAAATAGTAAGTCAGCAACTACTGCACTTGCCCAATGTGTGTATTTATTCTCTTTGGATCCTGTTTCATTTTTTTCATCTGGTAGAGTTTTGGTTCCTTCTGCTTAGGTTTTGAAATTACAGAAACCTTTAATTTTGTTGTCAGTTGATTTGAGGTAATAGGTGAAAAGCATCTTTTTTTTATTAAGTAGGAAGGGTTCAGAAATTAAATTAATAATAGATGCTGTTAGGAAGAAAAGAGTTGGAATGGTCTTTCCGTTAAAATATTGAAATTTGGTTTCAGTGCCGGCAGACATCAAAAGTGGCTGTGTGGTTGTGAACAAGCATGGAGGCATGGATTTGCTGCTACAATAGTGACTTCTTTCTCAAAGCAGATAAAATTGATGCGTTGTCCCTCAAAAAGGCAACTTTTTTCCCTATAATCCTCAAAACCTGCACCTAAAAATAAAGAAGTATTTTTACACTTACAGTTAAATGTTCACCATACAAGAGAAAGGTAATAGGAAGGCGGCTGGCTCTGGCTTGAGGCATTTTGGCTGGTAGTGTTTGCAAAGCTATGTTTGAACGTACAGGTAGAGAAGGGACAACTCAGGAGGAAGTCAGAATGCAGTCTGACCAATATCAGTATCCTGACACTGCACTGAGGTTTCTCGCTTGCTTACATGGGCAGTTATTAGTTTTGTCAGTGAGGATTATTATCACACATTAAATCAAAAGGTATTTTGTAGCTGGCTACACCCAGGGCCACTCTGTGAGGGCTCTGGGTTCTCTAACAGCAGCATATCTCTGGGGGAACAAGTTACTGAAACTGGTTTTTTCCTGCTGAGTGATTTTTGATGCAAAAAGCATAAAATATGTGTGTGGGTTCTTGCAGTTTTATTATTGTTTAGTTTTTTCTACTGCTGTACGAGCAGCACTAATTTCTCAGTGTTTTTTTGGCAAGTTGGGTGCAAACCGTTGTTTATATTTAATTACAGTTTGAATTGGAAACCTTTCAGTGCCAACAAAATTAATGGGAGCTTTGTGTGCCTATTGTTCATTTTATTAGCAGGAACCAACCAGATGCTTAAAATGAAGAGGCTGCTTGGAGATGAGTGTCTGAACACTGAGTTACAAATGCAATATAATTAATTGTGTAACCAAATAATTTATATGACAGTTAGAGGGAAGCAAGCAACTTTTGGGATAGAACTGCCTTTCAGTATTTGGCAATACTGTAACCAGATGCTTTCAAGCATCTAATTTATAAGTAGTTTACAACTTGAAGTCCATTACATTGTATGTAGGTGTTGTAAACAGTATACAGCTAGAAATGTTTTCAAGATTGTTAGTCTAGTTGCTTGTTAAGAGATTTTATCCTTTTATCCTTGAGCTCTGGCTAGATTACAGAAATTATTATTACTATCTTTTTTTTTAGCAAAATCTTTTAGTTAAACACTCTTTTACAGTTAACAATTAGGAAACACTCCTGAGGCTTAGTTATCCGTAATATCTACATTCTCCCCTATGTGCTGCATGTATTTTCTAAATCACTTATCTGTTTTTTCTACTCAGCTCCTTAGTAGACTAGTGATTTTATTGGCTTGTTTTAAAGAATGATAGCTGACTACCAGGTATTGCTGCTGTGCTCACATCTTTGGAAATTTTGTGTCTAATTAGTTTTTATTGTTTTTTTTTTAACAGCAGTCCCTTTTACTCATTTGACTCATACATGGTTTCTGCTGTTCAGTTTTGGATGTCTCACATGTCACCGCTTCTGCCATTTTCTCTTGGTAGTTAAAACAGATTTTTCTCTTTTTGTCTTTGTAAATGCATACATTTTAAAGATACGTATTTTACCATATTTTTAGTAATTTGATGGTGCATCTTTCATATCTTTCTAGCATTTCCGCACCCACCTAACTCCATATGTTTTGTTCATTTGCTTGCTACCTAGATGGTATCTCAACTTGAAACCCAAATCGCTAAATTGACTGAAGCTTTGGAAAATCAGACCAGATTGTACCACAAAGCTCTGGAGAGGAGCAGGAAAGCTGAAAAATGTTCTGAGAGTTTCCAGGATCAGCTGAAACACTTGGAAGAAGAATTACTGACTACGGATCTGATGCAGGATGGTTTGAAGCTTGAGAAACAAAAAGTAGTTACACATGTTATTTAATTTTGAATCATAGTCACTAAGGACAGATACAGCTGATTGTATTGCATTGGTCATCTGAAGCATTACTCACAACACTCCAAATAATGCAAATTAGCAAAATCAGACATCATGTAGAGGGTAGTAATATCTTTTCTTTGACCAACAATTGCAGTTGGGAAAAGCTAAGCTGTTGAGTTCCAAGTCCATTATTGTGGAAAAAAACCACCACCCCAGAAGCACCTTAAAAGAAGTCTCTGTAAACACATCAGAGGTCTTTGTATGATTCTCTGATTTCAAAGAATTCTCTGATCTCTGTGTCTTTCTGTAGTATATCATCCAGTCTGCAGTCTCTCTTGCAGTCTTTGTTTCTTTTATGTTCTTGGACAATCATGGCTACCAGGATTTTTTTATTAATTGGATGAGTGAACACACTGTTAACCTATAACACATTCACATACTAAAAGTTTGAAAAATGGCGTAGTACCCAGAAAGCCAAACCAGCCATCCAATGCAGCTAAGAAAGGCAAAGTTAAAGCATGTTGCTAGGCCAAGGTCAGTGATTAGAAAGCTGGATTTGCAAAGAACAGACAGTTTGGTGCTATTTGTTTTGCCTTAGGCTATAATACACTAACTTTTATGAATGAAACTGCCACCACACTGGGAGAAAACCAGACAAAGGATCTGTTTCTTCCTCTCTACATCCTCTGTTAAGAGCATTTGGCCCTAGATTCTAAAATTTGCCTCTAGATTGTGCTGCAATAAAGAGATTCTTGTTATGATTTTTTTCCTGTTAATGCACAACTTCAGTGTTTTCTTCTGCTTCTGATGTTTTTAATTTTTTGAAGCAGAAACATCACAAAACAAAAGGATATTCTTGCTAATGAACTAGTAATGAAACTGGTTAGTTGGTGGGTTTTTTTTTTGTTTTGTTGGTTCTTTGCAAAGATTATGGTCTGCAAAAGAAGTAAGAGAAAACAAAGGGAAACAGTTCTTAGTCAGAAGGAGAGCTTTAGATTTTGCAAGAGAGGCTAATTGAGAGCAGGGAGCTAATGCAATTTTTAAAAAGCTAGCAGAGCAGAACAAAGAAGGAAAAAACAGATTGAATAATATATCATATCTGTATGTGTTCATCACCAGATGGAGATGAAATTAAAATAATCATAAAAGCAATTTTTATACCAGCAGCTGTTATTTCTAAACCTTGCTCTTCCAAAGAATGGCTAAAGACAGACCATGTTAATGTTCCTGTGTCTTCTCAGACTACATTGGATGGCATCATTGATATCATTTATATGTGTTTTAAAAGTCACAGTACTGGGCAATCACAGCACTTGCAGTTATTAGTTAGGATGTAGCTGTCCTTTCTAACTTCTCCCTGCCCATACCTATCCATGTAAAGCAACAGAGCTCCAGACAGGAACTGGAGTCAGAAGCAGAGACATACCTAGTGCTGCAGAGAAGCAGAAATGAATCCTGTCTTACTAAGAAGATAAATACAGTAGGTCTAGGGCTTTATGAACAGAATAAATGTTGGCTAAATAAGTACATACGGAGAATTTGCAATTGTGTCAGGACTGTGTACTGTAAACATAGCCTTTATTATTTCTTGTTCCCAAATCTTCGTTCACGAAACCTAGCCATGATGATGATATTTCTTGTGGATCGTGTACTTTGCTATATATTGTTGAATGCCAGTGTAGGGGGGATTGCTTTTAAATTGTACTTCAAGACTTTTAATGAGGTTTTATTATTCTTTCACCCACTTTTCCACACCTTATCTTAGTATCTGAAATTTCTGGAGCAACTGAACGAGAAGATGAAGCTGGATAGTCTAGCAGCAGAGTTTGGATTTGATATGAATATGGATGCGATTCTAGCCCGGGTAGAGCAGTTAGTGAAACTGGAAGGTGATGCAGTGATTGAAAACAAGACTGTGGCACACAGCCTCAGAAGGAAGGTATGCAAAAACGACATACCTTTACTATTTGTTTCAAAGATAAACATTACTATGGCTATATTTCTGTAGTGGTTTGCTAGAAGCAGCAGATTGTATATGTACAAGGAATTTCAAAGATGTCCATTTCATAAAAAGAAGACAGCAAACGTTTGCAAACTGTGCAAACAGACTGCATATTAAAACAACTAAAACCACCAGTGGGTTGAACACATGATATGTGTTTGTGTCTACTTTTTAATAGACATTTATAACATTCTTCTGTAAACAACTGCCATCAATATTTAAATCTGAAAGGATCTGCTGGGGAGGGGGATATATAATAAAAACTTCTCTAGAAACTAGCAGGGTGATGGTTGTACTTCGCCAAGAATTTCAATGTTTTCAACAAGAACTGTTCCTTCATTCGATATTTCCTTCAGGAACAAATCCAAATCTGTTCAAATTTGGTCAAACATCCCTCCGTAATCGTATTATAACACAGTGAAATCTTTAGGGTTTAGGCTTATCAGACTGGTGAGGAGCTGAGAATTGGAGTCTGTTTAAGGTTTAAAACAATACTGTATTTCTTTTTTTGTTTTGTGAAGCAACTGCCTGTCTAGCAGGGAGTATACGTGTATCAATACTCCTCAGATGTTCCAGAGTAAAGCCTGGCAGCTCAGTTCAGATAAACTGAAAACAAGTAGCTCCTTCAGCAGCAAAATTAAAAAACTAAGCTGCTGGACCAGGCGTTGGAGCAGTGGATGAAAGATTCCTTATTTCTGTATGTTGCTTCTCCTTCTGGAACAGCTTAAACTACCACCACTGAAACCACTGTCTCCTTAATGAATCTCTCTTGCATCTTGCATTTGACTGGTGTCTTATACTTTAGGCAATCTCAGATGTTATGAGTGATGCACAAGTATTTATGTTCAAATAGGATGAAGTCTTTGTGTAAAATCATTCTAAAAGGCAGTGCACAAATTCAGGGATGGAGAAGCACAATGAATTGGTAATATAAGGAGTATCAAGTTAGTGTATATATACTGATACTTTACGCAGTTTTCAAGAGAGGAAAAGGAGTTCAGGTTATATGTGCAACACAGGGATTAAATTTGCAAAACAATCTGTGTAGTACCACTGTCATTCACATATATTTTTTCAAATATCCGTGTGTTTGGAAAACAAGTTGAAGACTCAGAAGGAAAAACTTGAAAGCAAAGAGCTTCACGTGAACCTTCTGCGGCAGAAAGTAACCCAGCTGGAAGAAGAGAAGCAAATCAGGACTGCCTTAGCTGTGGAAAGGGATGAGGCCAATCTTGCTGTCAGAAATTTACATAAGATGATAGAGAGGTTACAGAAGCAGCTTGATGTGGCAAGGGAAGTGAATACTGATCTCAAAGCCAAGCTGTCTGAAACCAATGAACTTAAGGTGAGTTAAAAGGTTACATTTGTGCTTCTTGCCATTTTTCTATTCCAGTTGTATACAGCTGGATTTCATTTATAAATGTGTTCATAGAGAACTGCTCAAATCTATCTAGGTGGCAAAAGTAAATATAATATTAAAACGTTTTGGTATATTTTGCAATTTTTATTGATATGCTAAGAAGTGTCTGTAAAGCACAATGTAAATTTTCAGAGTAGTGTAAGAAAATATATGCATCCTTTTCTTTCCTGTTGATGTGGCTGTAATCTTCTCTTTTCCCATACATTACATGCAGAAGATCTATTCGTATAGATATGGGGGGGAAATGGCTTTTTTTCTTGCATACAGCAGGCAAGATGCTAAATTTTAATTGTTCCTGTGTACATGTGATTTCATCAAGAACCTATAAGAACCCACATTAAAGTGCTTATTTGTGATTGCTTATTTGTTCACATTAGATGAAAAAGTATGAAAAATTTAACGCTTCTTTATCTTATTGCAGATCAAAACTTTGGAGCAGAACAGAACAATAGAAGAACTCAATAAGTCTCAAGGCAAATTGGAACAAATGAAAGAAAAAGCTGAGAAACAACTTAGATCTGTCAAATCAGAACTTCTTTTAAAGGAACGTAAAGCTACTGAAGATAAAGAAAAAAACCAAAATATATTAGAAGCAGTTACCAGTGAAATGAAGGTGCTTAAAACAACCCTTGCAGAACTAGCAAAAAGAGAGAGACAGGTAGGTGTATAGGTATTTGATAAGTGCTAGCGGTCCCTTAGAATATAAGGATGTGGTATATGTGGAGCAGCTATCCAGCTGTGCTTAAAATTGTTCTGAACATCATTAAACAAGGAAATTTTAGCTCACTGTTGTGAGTCAGAGTGACAGTTGTGATTCTGAGAGGCAAAGTTTTGCAATAGAATAATAAATATGGGCAATAAATACTTTGTTCATCACAAAATATTATATAACCTTTTAAAGAGCTGATAAAATGCTTTAAAATCATGGGATCTCTTTTAACGTAAGTCTTTTTCCAGATATCTTAGGCATAAAACTTACCAACTTCTCATCTGTTTCCTTTCATTTCTCATTCATTTCTCTTGGACTTTCTCCTTGCCAACTGTGTGAGACTCAGCAAGGCTAAGGGATAGGATGAAAGGAAGCAGCTTCAAGTTGTGCTGGGAAGGTTTAGATTGGATATTAGGAAAAATTTATTGACTGAAAGGGTAGTCAGGCATTGGAATAAGTTGCCCAGGGAAGTGGCTGAGTCACCAATCCTGGAGGTATTTAAAAGATGTGTAGGCATGGTTTAGTGATGGACTTGGCAATGTAGCTTAAGTGTTGGACTTGATAATCTTAAAAGTCTTTTCCAACCTAAATGATTCTATGGTTCTGCATTACTGTGTAAAGGCCATAAACTTAAAGAATGTTGAAAAATAAAAAGAAAAAACCCCAACCACCCCCCCCCCCCAACTTAATATTGAATGTAACTATTTTGGATCAATTTATGATATATAACTTTCTAATTTAGGTCAGAAAAAGTTTTGTGGTAATTTACCTTGGGGAGGGTGTAAGTAGTTTGGCAAACGTATTAGTAAATGTGTTCCATTCTAATTTCAAAAAATTGTGAACCATGTATGTTATTGCTCTGCATATTGTGTTTTGTAGCAATGTTATAGATGGCATAATTGTTGAAAGCTAATGGGATGCTTCTTCAAAGTAAAAAATTTATAATTTTAAATTTTTTGTTTCAACTGCTTAGAATATTAGGTTTTCCAAAATTTTATGCCATATGTCAGCCTTAACAGTGACTCTGGATGAAATTTAAGAATGTTATTTAAAAAATTAGTCTAGAAAAATATTTTTTTATTTACATGGAGAGAAGACCAACAACCTGGGCATCTTTTTTCTTGGAAATCTTTTTACTTCCCCAAAGCCCGGCCCTGCAGTATCTTGGGTTAATGCTCTAAATTGCATTAATTTCGTGATTTTTTATTTCAGATAATTTTACTCACTAAATGGAAGATGCAAAGAAAATTTAGCAGGAGTGCTCACTGCTGTAGCATAACTTTGGTTTTGGGTCTTGAGTGATGTTTATCTTTTCTTATTTCTCTTGTTTATTTCAAATTGTGATTATTTTAGGAGTTTTACTGAAGAAAACCTTACATAGAGAGGTGGTTCTTCTGTTAGATTCTAGTATTTCAGCAGAGCTGTTGTGTTTTTAATACCTTTGTTGCAGCCAAGAGCAATGCTTCTCTCTGTCAGTTTATGTGGAATATTTCTTTGTCATCAACCCTTTTTCTGCGCTTTCAATGAACTACAACTTTGCCTGCACTATACTTTATATGCCACAATATAATAAAAAAATCTTTCTGTCTAAAAATTCACATAAATGAATGGCTTACATGCTTTCTTTAAGGGCTCTCTGTGCTTTCCACTTTAGGTTATTTGCTGATGAAAGTCATTGAATTCTTGATGTGTTTATTGTCCATTCAATATAGGTACAACCTGCTTTTCCCATCAGAAATAAAGGGTGAGGTGATTGTGTAAATGTTTTACTTTGTATCTATTCCCTTTGGCCAAATCCTGCCAGATCAATAATCAGTGTCAGTGCATCAAATTTGATTTGATTATTACATTTGTTACATGGTTGTAATACAATTTGGTTTAATCACAGTTGCTGTAATTAAGTTGAACAGCTTGCAGCAGCAAAGATATGAGAGCAAGAAATTTAGTGCAAAGTGCAGACCCTAATGTGCTCATGGAAGATCAGTTGGGTTTGCTGTAGAGGTTCTTTCGGGAGTGTACTTAGTCCAAAGGCTGGATCAAACAAATTCCAGCTTTGCTGACTGCTCATCCTGTCTGTGATCCAGATGTTTAAAAATATCTTTAGCTTCTGTTATACGGTACTTGCTTAGCACTCTGCCAGAGCCCAGCATCAGTGACCTCCTGAATTAGTTTTGAAGATGATATCTGGGAACTTAAGGGGTTTTGGTGTTAACATTGTTCCAACATTTCATTGAAGACATTGCACTGACAGCTGGGACTGAATTCTCAAATCATAAAATCATAGAATGGATGTGTTGGAGGGGACCTTAAAGATCATCTGGTTCTGACTGCCCCACCATGGGCAGTGACATTTTCCACTAGATCAGGTTCCTCAAAGCCCCATCCAGCCTGGCCTGGAACACTCCTAGGGATGGGGATGCACAACTTCTCTGGTCAACCTGTTCCAGTACCTCACTACTCTCTGAGTAAAGAATTTCTTCCTAACATTCCAATCTAAATCTTCCTGGTTTAGTTTAAAACCATTTCCCCTTTTCCTATCCTATATGCTTGTGTAAATAGTCACTCTCACTCTTTTTTTATAAGCCCCCTTTAAATACTGGAAGGCTGCAATGAAGTCTCACTGCAGCCTTCTCTTCTCCAGGCTGACCAACCCCAACTCTTCCAGCCTGACTTCATAGCAGAGGCGCTTCAGCCCTCTGATCATCTTTGTGGCCCTCCTCTGGACTCACTCTAACAGGTCCATGTCTGTCTTGTGCTGAGGACTCCAGACACCAGTCCTAGACTGTTGTGGTTTCCTTTTTGTGTTTCTGAACTGATGGCAGCTCCTCAGGGTTTGTACTGGGATGAACCAAACTGTCTTTGGTAAAGTCTTGGAACTGAGACCTTGTTTTCACGAAAGGCTTCAAAAACCTTTTCTCACAGGTGTTGTATAACTGCTTTAGAATTCTGCACTGTACTATTGGGGTTGGACACATATTTCAGGAGTGTGTTTATCTCCTCCTTAACGTTAGCCCTTGGCACGACTGGTGGAATGAGGATGCTGCCACACTAGAGCATGAATCCAATTTCTTGATGGTTTTGATGATTTTATGACATTTTCAGTCACTTTCATGTTTAGGAATGGGGATCTTGGCATTCAAATAGATAGCAGGACAAGAATATTTCCTGAAATAGGAACATTTCCCTGTTTTGTGTGGTGATGATAAGGGGTATTAAGGCATTTATGATTTTGACTGTGTAATGCATTGTCCATTGAAGAGGCATTGCAGTTTGACTTGTAATCATCCATATTAAGAGTTGAGAAGAGCAAATCAGCATTAATGTTCAACTGACCTTAAGTTTTTAATCTAGTTACTGGTGGGGTTACTAGTGATGACAATTAGTTGTGGATGTCTGTCCATTTGGAACTGCAGAAAGTTGGTGTCTGGAATTACTTTGTCAAATTCCTATGATATATTTTCAGCAGCTATTCAGAGAAGAAAAACAAGCATTTCCCAAGCTGCATCTTGAATTTAGGCTGTATCCTGATTCAAATCAAAGTTAGACCAAGGAATGTGCCAAACTTCCACCTTTCTTCTAACTTCTTCCTTTCTTCTGTGGTTTCCACAAGAAAGTGCAGGGTGAAGAGAAGCAGTGGCAAATAGGGGTCAAGGACCAGGATCTTAGCCCGTACTCTGGGTTGTGCCCATCAGAGTTTGCAGCCATCTGTATAGCTTTGGTCATCTGAGTCAAGTACAGCTCCTCTGCCTGTGTTTTCCTCAGTTTTTGCAGTTGAGTTAGCAGGGAAGATATACCTGTGAAAGATACTAAAAACACTTGAAACTGTGCTTTTTGTTTGAGATACTTAACATCTTGGCTGTTTATGTGTTTTGTGACTTGACGTATGCCCCTAAGTGGCTTTTTGCAGCCACCTCTGCTCTTTGTATTGAGCAACAGCAGAAATGCCTATATTTTGCGCTGAAAATACAAATGCTTGTGTTTGCATGTATGCAAATATGTATGTGTGTTCCCAGACATCTCCTCTGCTTGCTATTTGATTTATTCCTTTCTGTTTACTCTCGCAGCTGGCAGATTTCCGAGAGGTGGTCTCGCGGATGCTGGGCCTCAACATTGCCAGCCTGGCTCTTCCTGACTATGAAATCATCACATGTCTTGACAAGCTGATTCACTCTTATCAGCACCACTGCTTCCCCTGTGTCTGCCTCAAAGACGTGGCAAGGGCACCAGAGGAGCAGCAAAGAAATGTACAGCTTCTTCACTGAAAGGAGACAGAACAAAGTAAAATTTTCTTTTTGCTTAAGGCCTTACCTGCTACACATCCACGGAAAAGAGACACTTATTTCTATTCCCTACTCTACAGACACCAACTAGGGCTGATTTTTAGAATTTCAATAGGGAGACTGAGCCAAATAGATAGAGTAAAGCCAGGAGCCTAGATATGGCAAAGAGAAAATCTCTGGGCAGCATAATGCTTCAGTTATGAAAATGATAGGCCCTTCAGTTATGATCAACGATACCCTCCAGTTTCATTGCAGAGGCACTGAAGTCATGGGCCACCCAAGGTCAGTTCACAGTTTTGGGAAGCACTTGAGAAGTTAGTGAATGTCCACTTTAGTCTCATTCCTTCTGATTTACCTCTGGGTGTCAAGGATAAAATAAAGTAGGGGTTGTCCTGCTGCTGTTTCTCTTGCCAAATGGGACCTCTCTTCGTTTTTACACGTAAAGACTTTAGCTTCAAGATAGTTATCTGGAAGTTAGAGGATTATCTCAATTTTTGAACATGGGATTTTTTTTTTTTACTTCTGTTGTTTTACTTTGTCTGCGCTTGTGCCAAAACAAGGTTTTGCAGCAAAGGCTTTTTCACAGGCTCCTGTCACGTGCCTGATGTAGATATATTTGGTAAAATTGAATGGTGACCTTGGTCATGATGCCTTGAAAATTTTTCTTCTAGCTGCTGTATTCCTTGGGCAGTTAATCCACAGGCCAAATAAATGGCGATTGTTCTGAGTTAAGGAAATTTTATAATTGTAAAATGCTTGTCCATTACAGAAAATACGTGAATTACTAAAGTCTTTATTTTCAGAGAAGCGATGGTGAGGTGTACAGAACTACCTCTTAGTCATAAAAACTGCTTTCTATCACCTTTTCTGAGTGTTGTTAAACTTTATGATTTTTTAAAAGAAGTATGAACAGTAAATCTGTTTTCATAGCACACTCAAATTCATTCTGTGTTTTTAGTTTTTTGTTCCCATTATATGTTTTGTATGGATGTGTAGAACAATAAAGAAGACTAATCTATTTATGTCTGACCATTTGTGGGCTTTCTACAGTATCTCAGCAAATGATAACCCACTCAGTAAAACTGAACACACTATTTTAGGAAAAATTACACTTTTTCAAATAGGAGTGGTAATTTTGGTATCTGGCTACAGACTCAAAGCATACTTTTATTTCACTTGCTTCTGAAGAATCATTTCTCAATGACGTGTTTGTAAAATAAATCAGTCATTTGGGGAGATAAACTAAATGATATTTTCTTGTGCTCCTGTGGCTACCTGGATTAAAAACAATTTAATTTCTTGTTTTATCATGTAAAGTTGTTTTGGAGGGAATGGCTTCAAACTGAAAGAAAGCAGGTTTAGATTAGGTGATAGGAAGAGATTCTTTTCTATGAGGGTGATGAAGCACTGGAACAAGTTGCCCAGAGAAGCTGTGAATGTCCCATCCCTGGAAGTGTTGAAGGTCAAGCTGGATGGGGCTTTGAAGAACCTGGTCTAGTGGAAGGTGTCCCTGCCCATGGCAGAGGAGTTGGAAATAGATATCCTTAAGGTTCCTCCCAGCACAAACTGTTCTATGATTCTGTGATTCTTTTTTTTCAGGTAAAGTTTAATAAATGGAACAAAGAAAAAAGCTAACGTTAAATTATATAGACTTAAACTTGGCACAACAAATTGCAAGTAAAGTAAGAGATTGAAATGTTTAAGGCATGATATCTTGGTTGGGAATTTAGAGTGTGGAGATGGATGCAATACTTTTCTAATTCTTTGTGAGATAATACAAGTAGTTTCAGTTTGTGTTTTGCTGGTTTTATAGGCATTGCTGCTTGAGTTATTACTCAAACAACAAAACCTCTTTTCTTCATCAATGTTAATAAATATCATACAAAGCATGATTTGCCATAAATTGCAAGTTAAGTAAATTACATTACAAATTTAGGTCCACTCAGCCCAGATAATACATTTATAACTTTAAGAAATAATCTCTGAGAGTGCCCATCTTAAAGTAAGTTTGCATATTTGTCCAAATTTTATGGTTGTGAAATGATTTCCTAATGTCTGCCAGCAGACTTGAAATCTCCTGTCATACTCATCAGCCCTGTATCCTACCACCATGTGACCAGCCCCTGGCACCATCAATGAAGTTCCAGCCCCAAAGAAGCCATGAGAAAAGTTCTCCAAATTACTTCAGAGGAGGCAGATTTTCACATGAATCATAGAATATGCTGAGTTGGAAGGGACCCATCATGATCATTAATTCCAACTCCTGGCCCTGCACAGGACACCCCAAGGGTCACACCATGTGCCTGAGAGCATTGTCCAAATGTTTCTTGAACTCTGTCATGCTTGGTGCTGTGACCACTGCCCCATGGAGCCTGTTCCAGTGCCCAACCACCCTCTGGGTGACAAGCCTTTTCCTAATATCCAACCTAAACCTCCCTTGAAACAACTTCGTGCCATTCCCATGAGTCCTGTCACAAGAGTGAAGAGATTGGTTCCCTCCTCTTCCCCTCACGAGGAAGTTGTAGACTGCAATGAGGTCTCCCCTCACTCTCCTCTTCTCCAGACTGAACAGACCAAGTGACCTCAGCTGCCCCTCATATGGCTTCCCCTCAAAGCCCTTCACCATCCTTGTTTCCTTCCTTTAAAGGGACATTCTCTAACAGCTTAATGTCTTTTTTACTGTGGTGCCCAAAACTGCACACAGAGCTCGAGGTGAGCCTGTGCCACATAAAGTTGGTAGTGATGCTTGATTACCGGCTTGTGTGTTAAGCCAACAGAAAGTAGAATTAAGAGTTTTCTAATGCCTTTTTAAAAAAATTATTATTTATACCGTGGATCTGTATTTTCCAAAGTATTAATGCTTATCATGTTCATAAAGGAATATGACCTATTATCTTATTATTAATATTCCCTGTATTTGTTTTCTTTTTGGAAGAGTACTGACATCTTCCTTCATTTAACCAAAGCAAATAAATAAATAAAAAAAAAGTAAATAAGTAATTTGATGCGAACAAAGTTTAGGTGATTTTTGACCCATGTAATTTAAGGAACCCCTGAACAAAGTTTAAACTGACTTGCAATCTTTTTTTAAGGTTTGTTTCATACAGCATTGAAATTACTCTTTTGGAAAAAAGATGAGAACAGGCTTATGAATGTTTTCAACATTTGTTTCAAATGTTTCAAGATGCATTCAACACAAGACAGGTATGACAGAAACATTAAAGTGTGGATTAAGGTTGTGTCAACAGACACCCCTCTTCCACTAGATTGTTTTTATTGGGTTTGTTCATATTAATACAAGGTGTAGGATTAAGAGTTTGCTGTCTGTTCATAATGACTTTTATTGTGGTAAAGAATTCTGGATTTATCAACAGAATGTGTTACAGAACAGCACAGTTACAGGGCTGCATTTTTTTCTCCAATTAACAGCTGAACCAACTCCAATTAAAATAAATTCACTACTAAGTGTTATGGCAGAACTCAAATTAAAATGTTGCAGTTGTAGATATTGAAATGAAACAATGTACATGCCGTAAACATTGTAATAATAAAATCACAAAGCAAATAGAAAAGTGTGTGTTACAATGTTATGAGTGTATTAAAATACATGCAACTGAATTTTTGCCTCTGCATCATGTTGTTGATAATACATTCTTTGCAATATAGTAGAACCATGCATGAGAACATTAATGTAGTAGAACCATGATTTCTCGAAGAAGTAAAGCACAAAAGTATTCAAGTACTTTGCTGAATTAGAATTAGGAAGCATAAAGACATGTCACATTAAATTAATCCTTGACTTATGTTGCTGTAGAGTTTATTATTACTGTATGAAGAAGTTTGCTTGGTTTTTCACGTTTTCTTTCTACGGATGTGTGCATCATCCACATTTTCCTAGGGCCTGCTCAGTTACTGGATTATTTTGCACATTATGATGCTGCAGGAGAGGGTAAATATGGGTGACCCAAGTCATAATAGATTTTAAATTAAACAAAAGGCAGGTGGGGAAATCAGTTATATTTCTAGTGAAAAAGTAATGTATTCTCCCAAATTCTTCATATGAAATAGAAGTATTTTCTAAGACTACAGATGCTGACCATTTCTCTTGACCATCTCAAAGAGAAAGGTGAGGAATGGAGCAAAATGATGTGAAATTCTCTATGAAATTAGAGAAAAGGACTAACTGATACTACTGAAGCACATAAAATTAGTTAACTATGTGGAAAATAAAAAAATGATAGCTTGCCAGAAGAGAATGTTCAAAGATAATCCTTTTCAAATGGAAGATTTTCAGATTATTTTGCTTTTGTCAAACCAAGTAAGAATCCTCAATGACAATGCTTTTTCTTCTGGAAGAAAAGGAGGATGAGTTTATTAGACTGCACTCATAATTAGTGAGGAATAACTGAGCCAGAAATGAAAAATCTACAAAACACAACAGTTTGTTGAATAAAAGAGGTGACAATTTTAAAGTCAGCTAATGAGCCCTGAGACAAAGAAGGATACTTATTTTCAGAAGGAAATAAATAAAACAGTTGAGGTATGTTTTTTTTATTTTTTTTTTTCCCTGTCACTACTTACTTTGGATAAGTAGGAGAAACAAGACAAAGAAGATTGCATTGTCAGCAAGTGGGCTCCAAACAGTTAGCTTCAAATTGGTCCCAACTAGAGAAACCAAGTGTCGGATGGCTTTTGGAGAGCAGGAAGTCTCACCAAGCTGGGAACTGGATAGGTTTTGGCCTTGTGGCATGTGTACTTTTTACAATTTTTGTTATAAATTTGTGTTTTTATAAAGTGCTTTGGGCTTTTTTTTTTTTTTTTTTGTAATGGAATGTTAATGTGTTGGGTGGGGAGGACAAGTGCTTGGTTATAAACAAAACATTAAATTTTCTATTAATACTAAAATAGGTCAATGAGTGCAATTTAATCTGAAAAAAAAAGAACCTTGACCCACAAAATATTCCTGTTACCATGTCTTAGTAGTGACAAATGCTCTTTGGGGTGCTGATCCTCTGGTCAGAGGATCAGAGCTTAGTTTCCCCTTCCAAAATCAGGATGCTAGGGGCAATCGTTCCTGCTGGGCAGTGCAGCCAGCCCCTGCCTGTGCCAGGAAGGCAGCCCTGCGGGCAGCAGAGCCCCTTCCCAAGGGCTGCCTGGGTCTGGGTGGTGTGGGCTGGATGTGCTCACACTTGTGCGTGCTGTCTGTCTCCCCATCGGCTGCCAAGTCCTCTCCTCAGCCGTGACCCTGGCCAGCTGGGATGCTGTACCGCTCCTCAGGCCGCACGCTGGGAGCTCTGATTACAAAACAAATACACCATGGTAGCTGTGGGATGCTGGAAGACCTTCCTCAGTGTTGCTGTGAAGGCAGCAACATGCCAGCAGAGCTGACTCAGCCCTTTCCCTGTCTGGTCATGTTTTCATGCTGTGAGGAAGAGCACGACCACAGCGGCTCTGCGAGCTGTGGCAGGGCATTAGGGAGAGCCTTGCAAATGGGGCTGTAAATCTGGGCAGAGCAAAGAGGCACCTCTGGTCTCAACAGTGAGTGTCTGCAGTCTGTAACCTGTGCTTTGGTTGATGGCGAGGCTCCTCTTGGGTTAAAGCTGCATGAAGTAAGAAGCACTAAGACTATTTCACTAAGCATTTCAAAGCATTTCTTCTGTGTATCCTTCATACCACAGTAACAATGTAAAAATATGCAGTACAAATTATAAAGTAGCAGTATGAATTGATATGGCCAGCCACTCTGACTGGCTTCTTGACCTTAGAGAAGATCAGAGACAGGCATCCCAAAGGACAAGCAGAAATACAGTACTAGCAAACAACTCTCAGACCTTTCTCTGAGGACATTTTCTTTCGAAGTTGCCACATGCTCCATTAGATTTGCTGTCATTCACAATATCTTTCTCACCTTGATCTTTCACAGATCACTTACCTGCAGCAAAGTCTCTGTGGCCAGCCCTGTTCTTCATCTGGCAAGGTTTTCAAGTCCATCCTTGCAAGGACTGTGGTGTCGGCCGGTTTGTGCCGGGTTGCTGGAGAAATCCGTCCACACTCTTGCTCTGCTGCGACTTTCCATCGCTCAGACCTGGCAGCCTCCTCCTGCACTGTGCACTTCACCTCTAGCCAGGGCATGATTGGACCTTTGCAGCGTTGTGTGGCATTCAGCAGACATCAAGCTGCAGTTCACTTTCTTGTGTAAGACTGCAGTGTCTTTTAGACTACATTTGAAGAGGTTTCATGCCCCTTTTAGGTAATTTTCTGGAGCTGCTGGGGTGAGGGCAGTCAGTACATGCATGTGTGGGTAGAAGAAAGAGCAGAAAGGTTTTGATCAACCTAAAGGGATCCTTTGAAGTAACAAGCCTGTGTCAGGCATATGGCCACGAGGGGACAGATATATACTGCTTAATTGTGGTAGGGAGGTGGAGCTGCAAGAAAAATAATGTGAGGGTAAAATGATGGCAGCAGACAGACCAGGAC